ACGCAGACGTTGTTATACGGGTATCGCAACGATATACTCGTGCATATACGAGTAAAATTATCTATAAATATATTTTTCTTCGATAACAACACATATGTGTGCATGTGCATTGAAAAATTAACCATCCTGACTTCACCCGGACTGAATCATATGTATGTTGGATTATATAGGTACAAAGATTACAACATAGTACAAATAGTCAAAGGCACAGTCATTTTGTATATTAAGATATCGTCAAGGAGTAAATAACATACGTAATCCAAAATCATACAAATAGTAGGATTTTGGAACAGGTATATATATGCTATACCACAACAGATAGTACATATACCTCAACATTGCCATTTGAAAATAGTTAAACCCATTTTAATAAATTGAATTTTTACTCAACAACAGCTGGCAGCACTATGTGGAGTAGGTCAAAAATATTTTAGAATAACGCAATTAAAAGCTAAGGGAAAACAATAAGATTATAGTAAACTGCTATACTGAATACTTTTTTAAGATACAAACTTTGGATACAATTTTTAACAAAAATAATCCCATATTGTCATTACATTTAAAAAAATAAACAGAGTGATTTCTAGACCTTCTGAAATCATACATATACAAGAAAAAGTATATTATAATATAATAATAAATAAGACTGGGCATACACATGTCCACTACCTTTTCTATATGTAAGTTAAAATAATCAGAAGAACAATAAAAACGAATATCGTGCTAGCAAAACATGTAACTTCGTATGCTTTATCACTTTTATAAAACTTCTAAGTATATCGCACATATCTACTTTCATCAAGATCCGTGCAACAACAGTTCCGTGACAGAGAATGTTTTATTAGTGTTCAATAAATATAAACAGTATGGACATTGCCACGAAAGACATTCGAGACTAATAATTACTAAGTACTGATAAGTTAAAGAACTGCCTGATGATAGCGCTGAAATACTGAATCTATGTTAAATTTAAATATCAGCGTCAATCCGTATTATTTATCAATATGTACGCTATCTACACTATTATCATAATATTAATACGTGAAGCAAAAAGTTTGTACCTATTTAAGAAAATTACGAGGAGGAAATTACGAAATTTGGTACAACTAAAATTTATATGCAAAGGGATTGTAGTAGGTACTCATTTTTTTATATTAGTGCTTAAAATAGGTACATCAGATTAATTAAAAAAAACATTCCACACCCTACCGTGCGTATGACACGCACACACATAAACCTAATATTTTAATGAATTATGGTCCAATAATTATTATAAAAAACAATATCTACAATACTACGCTATGGAAGTATTAATCATTGTGTTTTGGAATCTCAATTTTTTTTCTGGCAGGTTCTTTTTTTTTATAATTAATAAAAAAAGGTCTACTAAATGGCTACACAAGTAATGCGGAAGATTACCATAATAATAATAAAGACGAATAATTAAACAAGTCTTAAAACCGGCTTGTACTGCACTTATTTTAAATGGTATTGAATCCACCTGCCAGTGAGGACTGCATTAAAGGGTTTTTTGTCATCGGACACTGCGCGTGCGTTCGACCGTGACCTCGCGACGAGGGCAAACGCAAGGCAACGTCCAGATACAGGCCGTAGATAGATATATAGATAATATAATAAACTAGCAGTGCCCGCGGTTTCATCTGTGTTAAATTTCAATACATACGTTTTAATAAAAAAATATAGCCTATATGTTATTCTGATGCATAAACTATATTACTGTAAAGTTTCCTTAAAATCCGCTCAGTTGTTTTTGCGTAAAAGAGTAACAAACAACCATACTTACAAACTTCCGCATTTATAAGATTATTAAGATGTCTTAGTTTAAAAGATCACTTGAACTTAATACAATAATATGAAAATAATTATTACAATAAGCATAAAAATAGCAAATATTATTATAATTTATAGAGTATTGGAAAAGATTGCTCTTAAAACATAGTTTAAAATTATCAGATATCATATTTTTAGTCAGCTTGATTGAATAAAACTTCTAATACATTGGGACAATTAGTATGAGATCAAAATTAGTGTAACACACTAAATAAACAAAAGTTGTATAGGTCAGTTAATAGTATTAGGATTGAAAAGATATTAAACATTATTATGATTATTTTAAATGTGATATTTGTTTCTCAGAATTAATTATAGGCATTTATTTGTTGGTATTATATTATAAGTACAAGGAAAATAGTATTGATATTATATTTCTGTATAAATAAATATCAACATTTTTTATTCTACTTGTGACCTCATTCAACATTGAATTGATGGAAAGGTTGATGATTATATTCACTGTCAAAGTAAATTATACAAGGATTATACTATTAAGTTACATGGATTTTTTTAGACAATTTATTGTTGAAAACAATAAACTAAAACATAATTGATTTGAAAAAGATAATATTACAAAATCATCAACCAGTCAAATTTCAACAAATTTAATATAAGTGTATAATATATTTGCTTCATATGGATACCAATCTCAACGAGAGATAGGGGCAGGCAGCACACCACTTGGTGGAATAATATTAATAAGCAAATGGACACGGACAACTTTACCACTCAGACAACTCAGAACAGGTTTTCTGGCAAAGCGTCAGGGAGATTGGACACTAGATAAACTAGGAAAATGGGCTAGACAGAGAGAAAGAGTGAGATTCAGTTCACATGGAATAATTATAGTTGGGAATTGGGATAATTTTACAAATATGCATATCCCTTTTGTTATTCCTTTCCCAATAAACATAATTTTATACTCTATACTTACTTAGTAAACATGTTGAAAGTATTAACCTTCTTTATCCATTACAATTACATTGATATTGTTTAGTTTTTGTATATCCCACATTGTTTAACAAGAATCTTTAAAAATTAAGTTTAAATAATTAAGTTTAAAATTATTTTTTTTAAAAAGGATACCCGGACTTTTAAATCATAATTCATAAAAGTTGAAGTGTTTATAGTTGAAGTTGAATTAAATAATTATTCTCGGCACAATAAAACATTAAAATATTTATCTTATATTATAAGAAAGAATAAACTCAAAACTGTCATTCAAGAAATCAAACAATACCAATTAGAAAGTAGTTACAATGTCAACTTTTTTCAATATTATATTTAAGCAGATAAATGCTGTCTAAATGCTGTACAAATTAATATCCACTTTGTCTTCGTTTTAAGAAAAAAATTATCTTACTACTTATTTGTGTATGAAATCATAATTATATTCATAAACTACTTAAAACTCGTTCTTTCATAGTTTGTTTTCATTCAATTAATTACTTACAAAAGCATACATTAATACATTTTAAATATATCTGCCTGAAAAATATTCCGCACCTTGCCTTTCGCTGTATTGTAGCAATTATTAGACCTTGTTAAAACGTAAGGATTAGTCATCAAAATACAAACGGTAGGAAACCGTCAATGAAGTAGGTAAATATATTTCTTTCGTGAGTTGAGTGTACATTATTTTACAAAGTTAGAAATTACAATCTGTTAATCTATAATAATTTTATATTCTTATCAAAGAAGTAGAAGATTTAGTGGAAAATAATAGACTAAACACCTATCTAAAAAAAACGGAAATGGCGTTATAAATTTATGGGTACTCACGCGTTTTTGGGACTGGTAAATATGTATCGTAATAAAGTATGATACTTTACAATTTGGTATTTGAAAAAGACTGTTGTAAATTGTATATTTATTAATTAAAATTAGAAAACCACTTACCTTTCTAAAATAATTGACAGCTACATACACACACAAGAAAATTAATAAGTATCAATTCAATACTGACAACATAACAATATAATTGTCAAGCCGTATTACATTATCAAATATATAGAATCATTGTATTTATATCTCAATCATGTACATTTTTTTTAATTCTGAATGAATCCAAAAAATGATCTGACTGCATTCTAAAACATTTTAATAATATTGAACTTGAGCAGCAATGTCGTAAATTGATTTTGTATTAATTCGACATATTTGACAAAGTAGTTTTCCGTCTGCTAGCTACATAATGAAGAAAATTAATTAGATATACACTATGAATGTATAATGGTTATTACATTATAATATATGTTATTATGAGTATTTTGAAGAAATACAATATGACCTTATGTGCAATTTATTCAATAATTCATATAAATGCAATTAAAAAGATAAAATCTCATTAGGGAATTAATGAGATCTTATAATTTTAACTAGTCTAAAGCTAATAAATTAATGTACTACTTTATTTACATTCAATTACATAGCTGCACTAATAACTTTTTAAATTTTTTAAATGGTCTTCTTAACACTCTTAGCATGCTTAATTTTAATACATTCTTAATTCGCTTATGGATTCGTTTTAAAATTAAGCAGCAAAATAATGAGTTTGTTTGTTTTTTATATTTATTTCTCTTACTACTATGTATATAAATACAAAACAAACAAACAAACTTAAAATTCGTAGTCATTGTATGGTGTGGTATTTAAAAATTGTACTGATGTAAGATTAGTTTTGTCTGTGGCCGAGTGACCAATTGACAGTGACATCATCATACATGAACTTTTTTTATTTTTTAAGGTGTGTCAGTATGACTTAACTATTGTTAGTCATTTTTATGTCAATCAAACCAACAAACAATAAGGTCTATACAAAAATATTAATTTTTTTATATATGAACGCATTACGGCAATATTAGACAATTGATTTTGACTACAAAGGTCTTAATGTACATTAACATAAACCTAAGTTTTAGTTGTTGGAAAATAGTGACCATATAATTTATTCTGAAGGTTTTTATCATATTTTTATCTACAAAATGTGATTGTATTAAAAATCTGTGCTATATTTATTTTACAACGGCATCGCATGTGATAAATCTTAACAAACCTTATCATATCATGCAAATAACTAAAAAAATTGCTTGTACATTCTATATAAATAACAAGAATGGCTAGTTTTGGTATAGGTGTGTATTTTCTGAGTGTTGTATGGTTCGTAACTTTTATGTTGTGCTGGGTATCCGTTCGAACTGGGCATTATATTGGAAAAGTGGCGGCTACCGTATCATTAGTGCTAACTGTCGTACTTATATCAGTGCCAAAAGGGGACACGTATGATTACAGTGCCAACTTTTATGACCAACTATTTGTTTTGCGATACGCAGTCTTCTCTTTGCTGCTTGTTAGTATTGTCGGTGGCTCAGTATTTCTCTTTGTACACACCTGTCTAACTCCCATCGAGACACGAAAAGTGAAAAGTTTTGGTATTATAAACTAATTTTGGTCTGGTAAGTCACTGTAAAGTACTAAAAGCAAAGCTGTATTGTAATTGATAGACAGAAATAAATCTAATAATATTTTTCTTATTTTATATGTATTATTTTTATACATAGTTAAATATGTTGAAATAAGTGAACTAGTATTGGCAGATGACCTAAGTTTATTATTATGATCATTTATTATATAATATTTCATTCACAATTATAGATAATTATTATCTATGCATAATAATATTATATTTAATAGTTATAGGTAGTAGTAGTAGTTACAAGCAGTTGGGTCAGTGTATGTTCTTTTATAAAGCCATAAATTGGAACTTAGTAAAATAATTTAATAATGTAATCTATATAATAATGCTCTAAGAAGTTATAATAAAAATAGTATACTATACAATATAATTTCCTATAGAATGCTTGCTGCTTTTCCAAATAATCACAAATAAATTTTGCATGCAAGTATTGTGCTTTGCTACATTTTTATGTTACTTACTTTACTATTACAAATTAGCAATGTATACTTGAAAACTTGCTTATCTAGATTATAATGACTTGGTTTCATTAGTTAAATAGTTATAAATTGCTCATTAAGAGTTCATATACTAATTGTTCTGTTTGAACTCTGCATACTGAGTTGTCTATTAGATTATATAGTTGTATATCAGGATATCATTCAAGGTATTCTGTTGAATTTGATCTATTTTTTTTTATTTTATTTATTAAATTAATACAATATAAACTTACAGCTAATTGTTAACACATTATATTTAACTGTATATACTACTTAACTATATAAAGACAAAGTACATTCTGATTGTGTAGATACTAATGATAATACCTTTATATTGTGGTGGTAATATTGAGCAATCCATAAAGATGCTTTAATTTATTTTATATTCTTAGTGAACAAGTGTTATTGTTATATATGTAGAGGACATGATAGCAGCTTAGCTCAGATTTGTCAAAGTATTTATATTAGGTTTCTTTTATTATTATACTTTTCATTAGCCTTGTCCATAGTTACTGTATCTTTGCTAGGATCTCCAAGTGTGTATTTCTTATCAGCTTCAAACAACTAGCTTACAGTTTGATAAGAATTCACCATTTGTAAAGAAAGCAGATTTTTTTATTATATAATGAAAGAAGTAGGATATGGTGTGGCATATAATATTGGGTATTCATATGTTTTCTGTATGGTGAATCTATACCATTTCCTGTTTGCATTTATACTATATATTTTCAAAGACCATAGTAGTATCTGAGTTTATACAACTTAGTTTTCATCAGCAGTTTTCACTGGTTACACATATGGCCTGTTCTGTTTGATTTCCTTACACACTGTTCACCATGCTGTTTGTTGATCAGCGAGATTTCAATAAACTTCACATCATGGATTTAATTAAATATTGATTGCATGTTTTAGTTTATATCTAAAGCACAATACACATTTTTTGATGGCAAATAATAGTGACAAACAAGCTTATGTTCCATCTGATGGTAAATGATTAGTGTAACCTATGGACAGATATTGTACCAAGTGTTGTATGTGTGTATTGCTGACCTTTAATAAACCTTAAATTGATAATGCAATTCCAGAAATAGTGATATGACCGTCCATTTCATTATTATTAAATAGTTATATTAAATTCATATTCATCACTTTTATTGATCTATAACTCCTACTAAAATGATATGTTGAATGAATGTCTATTTAAAGTATTATTATATTATTTCAGGCAAAATGTCTAATGCAATATCTCAGGGTTTACGGTCACCAATCAGAAATTTAGTAAAACTGAAGAGGTTGAGATACATTTCTACATCCCTTGTTCACAATGAAACAATTTTAGTTAAGAATAATAACGAATTTGTTACTAAGGTGAGTATCTATTTTAAAATATAATTTATAACTGACTGACTTAGCACCATAGAGCAGTGGTTCAAAATGTCGGACCCTACCCCATAGACGGGCATTTTGATTATTAATTAGGTCAAATTGAAAATGGACTCGACACAAGTTTAACCTTTTGGCTCTAGGCCATTTAAATGCAATGTTAGATTTTGTTGCCAAATTTAACGAAAAAAAAATCGCTACTAATTATTTGTTATCATTTCACTTTGTATTTAGTTGAATGAGGATTAATGCTGTAAATGATATCTAGTGATAACTTACTAAAACCTATCATTTAAGGCATCCATGGCTTAATTAAATAATATAATATATAGTTGACCAGACAATATCCTTTATATAAGATGCTATTATCTCTAATTATGATATATTGCATTTATCTTTAATTACAGGTAATGAATAATGATAAGCCGGTGATTGTGAATTTCCATGCTGATTGGTGTGAACCGTGCAAGATCCTTACGCCTAAACTGAAGGAATTGATCGAGCCTCTTAATAATTTGGACTTAGCTGTAGTAGATGTTGAGGATAATGCAGAACTGGTTCATGCTTTCGAGGTAATAAGCCTATTATAACTCTAACTAATGAATATGAAATAATAATTATCTCATCAGTAGTAACATTATAAAAGAGAAAACGTAACGTAGCATATCTTTTATTGCAAAAAAAGTGACCAATGTTGTGTTTAACAGCAAGTCCGAAATATACTAGAAAAATTATGTAATTATCGAAGTTACTTTATTTAATCTTTTAAAAAACACGACTGTAGTGCTTGATACACTCTAGAATAGAATAGAAAATCCTTTATTCAAATGCACTTAATTTGAGCACTTTTGAATAGTTTTTTAATCTACCACTCATTCAGATTTTAGATTCCTAGACGAAAATCTAAATATTTCAGGTTTATGTGGGTAAGCGCGCTACATCCTAGGTCTTACCATCATTTACCATCTGATGAGGTAAGACCAAGCGTAAACCCATTATTAATAAAAAAAAATGTTTCTCGATATTTTCTAAATCGTAATGTTAAATTAGAGCTATGTGAACAATATGTAATATGTTGTCTTTAAATTTTAGGTGAAAGCAGTTCCTGCTGTTATAGCCATCAGAAATGGTCTAATAGTCGATAAATTCATTGGTTTAGTAGACTCAGATATGATCACTAGTCTCATAGACCGAATGTCCGGCAAGAAGGAGGGATCGTAAACAATGCACACATTTAGTACGTACGTAAACTGTAAACAGTAGTTTAGACTAAACAGAGTGAGAAATATGACTCAGTAATCGATGGATATACTATGAAAAATAAATCACTTATTAATAAACATAGTTCATAAAAACTTTATCAATATTTTGTAATTATAAATACGAAATGTTTTTTTTAATGTTAGTATAAAACTAATTTATGTAACTATGTTACGAGGTTGTTGATATTTTATGTTGGAATGTTAGATTAGTAAGTGTTTTAGTTCCATTCTTGCCTCCTTGTAACTTATCTACAAATAGTTGTGTTCATATAATTAATTGATATTCGTTTGCTAGTGTTAGATCATCCATACCTACCTACTGGCATCTCATGCTCATGCATGCATATTTTAGTCAGGAAAATTTCGAATAATAAAAATAAATTACTGAAATGAAAAACAGTGATGTATTCACATACAGGTGGTATGGGGCCGTTCAAGTATTACGTAAGCACTATAGGGGGGCGGGGGGTCTTTTCTTTGCTTATTTTGGATGACATGGGGGTGGGGGAGTCTGTATGATGATTACGTCATTGGTCGTAATTTACTTTTTTACACGAATTATTGTCTTTGCTAAAAAAACAATACATTAATTGAGAGATGTTTACGTAAGCATGGGTGGAGGGGGTAAGAGCTTTGCTTACTTTTGCTGACAACGGGGGATGGGGGGTAAATAATTGTGATAAATCTGCTTACGTAATACTTGAACAGCCCCTATGTGGATACTTTCATTTAATTATTAACATTAATATCATGTTCAATATGGCTTATTATGAGCTTATTAGTCTACTATTACTGTGCTGGCACTGGTCTTGTCATAGTCCCTAATTACAATATGTGTATATCAAGTCGTAAGCAAACCCCATCGAAAAGCATACACTCCTTTTGAGTTTCCCTAAACATTTGCCAGATTAGTATAGGCCAGTCATTCATCAACAAATGTAAAGAAAGTATTTTATTATTTAAATGTTTCCATAGTATGGATCATTATGGAGATTCTACATAGTAAATCATAAACATAATGAAGAATATAAGAATACTCTCATATAGACAAATTTGAATTGACTAGTTATACATTTTAGGCACAGTAGGATAATATAATTTGAGGTACCAACATTAAGCACATAAAAATAAATATAAAAATCTTGGATACCTAAAATTATATTTTGTGCAAAAGAAAAAAATAAATATAGCTATTAAATGACCTAGTCTATGTAAGACTGTGTTTTGTTAAGTAATATTTTTATCTATGAAGGGCACTATTGGAATAAAGAGAAATTTAAATGTATGGAATACTTATATAATTCGTAATAGGCCTATTGTAGATAATATAGAAGTTATAAAGAACATGTACAAATAATGAAGTCAATACAAAATATATTTAATATGTAGAGAATTTATAAAAGCAGATTTCCTAAATGTTGTACATTTCATATAATTTTAAAGATGCTGTTTTCTCAAGGAATTCTAGCTATAAGTAGGCAATGTAGGCGATGCTCTAGGGTATTATAATTTGGAAGCAAGCAGGGTGAGATAATTTTAATACACGTATTTCAGTATAATTAATTTGTGAAAAACAATCTCAATAAACTTTTAATGAATGAAAAATCATCTCTGCGTCTAGGAATGGCGAAATGAAAAATGTTATGTTAACGCACCACTATTCTAGACAATAGTGAATCTGGCGTATAAGTTTTATCTTGTATTCAGTAAATATACGTGAATTGTATTAAACATTGCCTACATCAGCAATTCTCTGTAGTTTATGCTTAGACTATGTATCTATACTTATCTGCAAATATTAGGAAATTACCTTCACTTTAATTTCAAAATACTGAAATAATTTAGGTAAAACCTGATCGAAATTATATCTGACCACTCCCGGCCTCATTTTAACTTTTATTCTGGAAGGAATTGAGCAAGTCTTAGGAGGGACAAATAAATTAAAAGCGACGATGTTGTATAATCTGAATGTAAATAAGAAAATATTCTTATTATAATACATGTAAAGATATAGTAGGATGAGAATCTCACTTATTGAGAATAATGCACCCGCCTACACTAACGGAACTGGCGGAATACCAGTGGAAAAATATAAAATGAGCAGGAACTCAGGTCAATTAGTCCATTTTTACAACAAATAGCAATTTACCATAATGTTTTCCAGGGGAATCGTGTGGCGGTCAACTTGACATGGTATATAATGGTGTTATTATTCCATATTACTAACAATACTAACAATCCCCTCCTCTACTTATTAAAATGTTTACAATATGAACAAATCAACTGTTTATATACGCAGTTTGCTAATTTTGTAAATTTATGATTGTCTAGAGCCTAGCAGACACCTGCCTGTTTTAAAATAAGCTATATTTCAAATGGATATAAGTTAAAGTGTAATCCGGTCGAAATCGAGACGGGCATCTATTTATTATTTTTACTTAGAGTTTCCTTGTATAAATATATTTGACCTAATTTAATATGTACATATCCGGGCTTCTTATTGTATTTAGCCTGCCTTACATTTGTTGATTCAAGTCTTGAATCATCTTGTGATTTGTCGCATCAATTAATAGTATAATGTACAACGATTGATTTAAGACAAATTATGCTTGACACTGTTCATTATTTAAGTTGTTTAGATACTATTTCTAAATAATATTTTTGTAATTATCTTGTGCCTCAAAATAATCTATTTTCGCTCAATATAAGCTATTTTTATTGTATTATTATTGAATAAATAATTACTTATTATGGAAAATATTAGAACTGTGTTTTAAACAGGTGCTACTAATATGCTATACTATTTGTTTTTGCATATAGATTTGCCTTAATGGCGATCTGTGTATCTATATTTAAGTATGTTTTTGATAATTAAATGCGTAGTTTTTATAATTACGCCGTTTTACGTGTTGTGTTAAAAATATGATAAGTAATTTATAAAAGTAAACGCTTATCATAATTTGCAAACTTATCATACATTGATTATTTAAGATGATTTTATAATACCAAAAGTGAAGTAAAAAAATATTGGAAAACATTCTAGCTACAGATAATATTTACATCTCTTAAATTATGCAGTCAAATAAACTATCTACCTAAGTATTACACCATTTAAAGTCAATATTTAGAACGAATATATAAATTAAACAATAAACCTGATAGTTTTATAAACTATCAATAAAGATTTGTACATAACGTAATGGTAGATTTAGATCAAACAAGAATGTAAGATTATCAAACTAAAGGTACAATTTAGAACCAAGTATCAAGCATTGTATAAAATTGGTCTCGAATTTAGTTGAACCATACAATAGACTTTTCGCATATCTTAGTACTTTTAAAATGAATAAGTGTTAAAAATGAGAACGTATACGGTTGTTTTGATTAATTGATCTAAATCTGCCTATAATAGATCTCGCTCCATGAGTTGAGTTGTCATGTGTTACTGAATTATTTGCCACGGTAATTTGTGACTAAATATTACAGGAATAAGATTTGTTACGTGTTATTGAAAATTAGTGTTGCAATTGAGCTTATTTCAGCTTGGGTGCTTTTTAAATCCATCCGTTTTTACGTATCAATCAACGTAGTACTTTAAAGTGTCTACACATGGTCCTAAAGTTAGGAAGCGGTAGACGCTTACCATCACTATTTTAATTATGCCACCGAGTTTTAATCTCTATAGACACTTTTAATATTACTTGCAGAATATAATATATGTATCTACTGATAAAAATGTTGTAGTTACTTTTAATTAAGCTTTGATATCTATAACTGGTTCTTTAAATGCTATTTTGACATAATTGTATACATTGAATAGTAGTAGTATTCCAAATGTACGCAGACTATCTTATTTAATCAGTATAAAGTCACTGTTAGAATTTCCACCATCCCAATATAATAATATAACGAGTGTATTGTAATAATATATGTATTATCTTTCAAACCAAAGACGGAACTGATCACTAGTAATTCGATAAAGAGTAAACAATATAGTTTCAAAATAATTAATACAGTGGAGGTAAAATTTTCAAATTATACTTTTCTCTGTAGGCTTGCGTTTTCAACTGAACGTCAAATATGCATTTTTCGAGCTTAGTACGATAGATATGTAGAACATAGTTTTTATAGAACAAAGATATTGACCACAGTTGGGTCCATTTTACCTATTCATATAGTTTATAATTGGTAACTATTATACCTAATGTTTCGGGCCTTTGTAATAAAAACCCTTTGGAGTTTTATATAGACATCTATTAATGGTGGTTAGTATACATTGTTTTTGTTTTCACGCAAAATGTATGTATTAGGGTCACACACTCGTCCAAAACATAGTACTTTATTATTTTTTCCTAACATTGTATAAAGTAGAAAATGAATTTAATTTATATGATATATTCATGCTACCTATATAGTGTATAGATATATATTATACAATATAGAAAATAAATATTTTTCTTGATTAACTTAACTGTTTTTTTTTCTTTATAATAGAATATTACAAATTATTAAATCTATAAAATCCAACATCGAAATACCGGTTTGAATAAATAGCTGCAAACGTATGTTCTTATGAATTAGGGTTATCAACCTAACTGCCGAGCAGCTAATTTCGTAACCTGTGTAGGTTGAAGGGTGAGATAAGGCAGTGAAACTGCAAAATAATAGGCATGACATTAATACATGAAGGATATTATGTGCGTCACATGATAGCGTGCTGTTCGTGTATAGACTATAACCATGTAGGTAATTATAGGCGACGACTTATCATCAGAAGGGTCGTCAGCGTGTTTGCAATTCCAATTAGATAGGTTAAATATAGGTGTAGGTTACAAAAAATAAAACAAATAAACTTCATGTACCGATTTATTCTTGGATACAGGTATCTTGATATTCAATGTAACACGATTTAACAGTTCTAATGGCGGTTTTCACTCATCTCTACGGAACTGATATAGATGCGATTCATTAAAAATGTGTACTTTTTGGATGACACAAATTATTAACATTTGTGATTAAATAAAATATCTTAATATCAGTTTTTCAACAAAGTATTTAAAACATTTTGATATATTATTTCTAATTGTAATTTGTGTCTCTTGCATATTACGCACATCTTTGTGGACGGATTGTGCCTTCCTACAGTTCCAATCCTACATATTACAAACTGCAGAAATTGGGATTATATTAGATACTATGAATTTCTAGTAAGATTATAAATTAAAAACGGTAAAAAAAACTGGATATATGTACAACATAATAATAACTATACGCTGTGGGTTGCAGTATATTATTTGTGACAAAACAATTTTCTCTTACCTATCAACAAGAAATGCACATTTAAACAATCATACGCCACAACGAATATAAAGCTAACAGTGAAAAACCGCCTCAAATGGAGTGTAAGTACACTGCGATGTTATTATAGTTGAAATAATTTAAGAGTTCAATAATATATACCTTAACAATTATCTATTAATAGAATATCGGCTTAGACACGCTCACGATTATAAAAAATCAGTCTAAAATATATTAAGGCAACTTGAGAATACATATTCATTTTTATGAGATCCATTCGCATTTACCAATCACCATTAGACATTATTTAAAACAATTATATATTTTCTAATCAAAATAATTTTAAATATAAAGCGTCAACTCTCCGATAGTGGAATGAATTGTACAGTGAAGATATATTATAATGATTGGTGAAGGGAGATGATTAACTTATGAGAGTTGTAAATGCGAACGGACGGCACTAAGGACACGGCTGTGTCATAATTTTGTGTGCAACAGTCAACGAAACGTCCACCATCTGTTAATATAGTATCTACCTCCATAAATACTGTTAGTACTGATTTCAAAAAAGACAAAAATGTCATCTTGTTTCAAGAGTATGATATCTTTCTAAATAAGTAGCAGATTGCAAAAGATCTTGTTTATATTATAGGGTATTGATATTATATTGTTATGTTCTCGTTGGAATACGTTAATTTTATGAACGAATATGAATGTTACGTATGTATACTTTAAACTTACTAGTGAAATAATTGTGATTGAGTTTGTATCGCCTTAGTACTGACGGTTCAATGTGATATTATTTAGCATAGAACTACTAAGTATCGCGGTTTATCAATGTGTCACATAAACAAACTCGCAAACAGTTATAGGTCTTTAAATAATTTCAGAACTGAACTTCCTACAACGTATGACGCTAGAAATATATTTTTACTAGAATTGCGCATTATATCTAAACATAATTATATATTATAAGCATCAATCAAGTAAGTACATATATTTTAAAATTGTCTAATAAACAACACAATCATGAAAATATAAAATAGAAATGTTAAAATTAATAAAATAAGAAATTTAAAACAAAATATTTTCATTTATTTTATTTATTTTTTTATATTAACAGTAAAAATGGGAAAAAACTGAGTACAAACAACTAATTAACAGATGGTGAACATCAATAACCGTATTATAGAATAGAAAGTGAATCAACGCAATTCATATAGTACTTGTAAACATCTCAACATTCTCGGGGAGAACAAATAGTATACAATAATGAGAGTAGATTCAATTACAAGCGTTATCAAGTCGGAACACAATGTAAACTGTACCACTATACTTGCACAAGTTATATATACTAACATAGTATATATATCGTATCTGCTTTGTCCTTATACCATTAATTTGGATATTAATTATTTGCGTAATTACATTTTCCTCTATGCATTCATCCTTGTTCGCAGTAACCTCGTTATTCAGTTCCTTCTTGTCATACCAGCTTTCGCATATATCTCTTTTTTGTCCTTCCTCTGCCCTTAGGAGCATCCACATTCATATATAAAACTCTCTTTAAAATATTACCCTCATTCCTACAATATATATAACATAGCAGAGATTGTAACACAATAAAATTGTCATCGATTTGGCAATCAATAGACAGACAATTGGTGTTAATAAACATATGGGGTTTATGGTACTGTGGTACAAAAAAAAATGTACAAATAGAGCTGCACTGTGGTTACCAACTTAGACTAACTTAAGAATGTTATGAATGTTAAGAATGTATTATTAGACGACAATATATTAAGTCTTTTATGTATGTAACCAAAAAATTATGAAATTTTATTAAATTTCATAATTTTTTGGTTAATAGATTCTAATAAAATGTGTATATTGTCTAAATTCAATATGAAACAAAGCACTGATATTTTCAATGGAATTTATATATTTATACTGATATTGATATTACTGATTCAGTGTGTAAATATTATTAATATTATAAATGCGAAAATTTGTGAGTGTGGATGGATGTTTGTTACTCTTTGACTGAAAAACTACTGAACGGATTTTAATGAAACTTTACAATAACATAACCTATACATCAGAATAACATTATAGGCTTATAAATTTCACGCGGATGAAACCGCGGGCCCATCTAGTATTTTTATAAGTTAGTCCGTACTGCTCCGACTTGTTACCGCGAGTTTTTACATAAAATGTTGCCACCTAAATATTCAATAATCAAATATCAATAACATTAATAATTTATCCCCGTAAATTTACAAAACTCAACGTGCTATATACTTTAACTTTAAACATTGCGTAGATAGAGAACTGCTTCACATTTATATATATACATATAACAAATAACAGTTACAAATAAATAATAGTTTGTGCACATGATCGCTATATTTACATTATTTACTACACACGAATATGAACACATTTATTTGTATTGATTCGGAATCTAATTTGCGACCATCGGCATATAAGGCAGTTGGCTAAATCGCTGCTTAATGTTGGCCAAGAAATTAAAGAATGTCCCAATCCTTGGATTTATATATGATTCTTTTATTACTACATGTTACTATCCACTGGTCACTTAATATTAAATAATACAATGTTGTTTATTCTCAATATCTCAATAATTAATCATAAATATCTCAGTAGATATACTTGTAGAGGAAGTATAAAATTACCAACAGTTGAACAAATCGTGTTGTAAAGTATTGACGTACATAACTAAAAGTATTTTTATTGCACTTTAAAAACAGACCCAGAAAGTGAAACGTCCTACAAATATTTTACACAATTGGAGAATTTAATTAAAAGTATTAGTGTCTTTTGTCGCATTCTTTCAAATAAATAGTCTAAAAGAAAAAGAGTTTAAATGCTGAAATTGCGTTGACGATTTTTAGTACTAAATGCAGCCCTATAAATTATGATAATATATTTTTTTGTCAATTGGATATAGATAACGATCACGCGCACAAAGCTCACATAGTAATGTACAGAAATTAAATAATAGATTCATTTGGTCTCAAAGAAAGACTATGATATTTTTGGGACAGAGTTTCACTAATACCATAATTTAGAAAAATATAACAAAAATAAAAAAGAACTTTAACACACGCTTATCGCACCTAATAAAGTATACGCGTTTTATTACATTAAGAGATTAATATACAAATGTTTACATATGTTCACAATATTTACAAAGTATATTTACATTAATTAAGCTAACGTTTAATAAAATCTACGCACACACAACAAAGCATTTTCATTTAGTATTTACAAAATGGAATAGTCATCATGCAACCTAAACATTAACATTAATTTAGTAAAGAATTACATTTATACATTTTGAGAGTGAAGTTGTAGACTCAGGAAGCATTCGCAGGAAGATTATATGAAATGAGAGATATAGTTAGAAACTTGCTTTGTTAATCAATAGAATGATGTCATATGTTAACAAAATAGAAACCAAGGGACATGATGATATGTACTTGTATACAATAGTAAGTTGCTTGCGACTTCCGTATATATATATATGATAAATGTAATACATGGGGATGTAATAGACAACATCGGTTAAGATCAATAACAAATAAATAGTATTGATATTTATAATCAGTAATGTAACACTATTTTGTGAAGAAATCATAACAGAAGCGGGATCGGTTTCTACAACTGTAGAGACGATTACGTAATTATTATACATCTTAGAGAATAAAATGTAAGAATCTCATTAATTTCATATTGCCATTATCTTTGTACAACAGCGTCTATCATAACATTCCACTGATGTTATGTAATTGTAACCTTATAATTATAAAGATAAATTTCAATTCAATTTGAATTATTTCGTACCAATTTTCAAAGCTTAACTTACATATTAAACATATAAATTCGACGAGTTAATTACAACCGATTGACATCGAGATAGTTCATACTTCATCGCCCAAATCCTGGACGCAGTTCTCCGCGATGGGAACGAACTTGTCTTCTATTTGGATGAGTAGGATGCTCTTGTCCACATGCGATCGGAGTTTGGGATCTCTGTGACTTGGGGTCCATTTGTGTACAACCTTAGAAAACAATTTTTAAGTATTAGCAATTTCTTTTTATTTAACACAGTTTGATTTATGAAAAACACTATAAATAAATATTTACATACATATAAGTTTTCGACTAAATAATAATAAAATCTCAGGTGAATTCACACGACCCCATCTAGTACCAAGCGAAGCAGAGCTTGTGTTATCGTTCTAGACAATTGATACAAATACATAGATACATTTTTTTTATAAATACATACTTAATATACTTAAAAAACACCCAAACCGAGACAAACAAAATACAAATGTTCGTACCGTGTGAGGAATCTAACGCGCGATTTGTATAACTGGAATGCCAAACATTCTGACCGTCCCCCAGATGGTAAGTGGTAATCATATACTGAACAGTTCCCGGACATGATGTTATGTGACGCTTGAGATACTACTCATTATTTGCCATTCAGAGGACTAAAATGTTATGTTATAATATGACCCTATACCTGAAACACAGCTTATAAGTTGCTTGGTGATTGAAATAGGCGAGACTGATATATATGGACATGACTTTTTACGACAAATACTCCGATCAAACACTAAAGAACACGTCTATTACAGAATAAAGGACTATGTAGTATGTTATATGTATTTAATAAAAAATATCGACATACCAATCCATCCATTCCTGCTAGCGGCACCCAGCTCCCCCAGAAATTCCTACCGCCCCTCTCCCGTTGATATTCTGACGGCCACTGGACGTCTATCCTCCTCCCCAAATTAATACAGTCGTACACCCCCAGAGGTTCGATTATCAACACTTTACTGCCCACGCTGACGTTTATTTTCAATTCACTGCGGCCCGAATCGGACCGTTTGATTTTGGTCTTTATTTCTTTAGCCTTAGAATCTTTTTTTGATTCCTTCTTGAGTATTGATTCTTTGTTTGACAAGTCGGAGTAGTGCGTCTCTTTCAGAGGTATTGCCTCCGGTTTTTCGGTGTAGCGGCCCGTGAGATCACGGTAACTCTCGCGCTCGTGTCGTATATCTTTGCTAAGTTTCGACAGGTCCTTCGATGTTATTTCGTTCATGAAATACCTGGAATTTATTTCATTATTTAACATGACCAATCTCATTTCAACCAACTTCAAAATAGATGTGCATAAAAATTACCGAATGAAAGATAGTGACTTTTTAAAATTGACTTGCGCGATAGTGTTCGCACATTCTAACTCCATGCTAACTTTGAAGTGAAACAAAGTTTAAATTATTTTTCTAGTTCTATCTTAGTATGAATTCTTAGTATACAATTCCTTTCGATGTAGTTAGTCAAATTAATTAAGCATTTCTTATTAACGGACAAACTCAAACAATGTAAGCATGAAATAAAGAATGAAATAAAGGCCATCCATAAATGATGTCACGTCGTCATGTGTCAAGTGTGACATTGTGTGTCAAGGGGTCCTAATTTACATTACAATATCTAAATTAAAACACAAAATTTAAATATTAACGAAATTATTTCAAATTTCAAACTACGTGGCGCTGCACCCGAGAAGTGTGACAATCACAGTGGGGGAGATATAAAAAAATCACGAATTTCATGTGACATAATTTATAGATGATTTCTAGTTACTATAAAATGCAATGCACGATATATATATGATCCTGATGATTACTGACATGATGGATCGAAGGTTGCGAAGTGGTTGTACAAGCGTGTGATGAGGGTGCTTTCTACCTTTTAAAGTCTCTTTCTTGCCTGGCGTTCCTGTTGGCGATGATCTTGCAGTCGGGCAGTGAGAGGTCGAGACCAAGGCCGCCCGGCTCCAGAGGTAAGTCTTCTAGCGAGGAGTCAGCGCTCGCAGCACGTTGTGTACACACCTTTATATCACATATGTTATGTTTACTAGGCACTATATTCACGGGAAGAAGTTAATATGCTATGTCGCGAATAAAAGCAGCGTTCTTTTCTATATATTTCTAATTTCATAAATTAGTCTAAGACAAAATTAAAAAAATACTAAGCTGATAACCGGGTTAAATACAAAAGAACTGAACTACTTCAAAATAGAAACAAAATGTTAAACTAAAAGTACAGAACTTTTACATTAAACTGATCACGTGTACATGCCTCTGCTTCTTTGTCACAGTAGTTATTTCATGTTGCTTTTTTGCACAGAGTTTTTGGCGAGGAGTTATAGAAACATGTTGTACGTTTTTATAGCAATGTTGTTAAATGGGTGTAAACAATAGCGTTTAAGCGCTTATACCTTTAGTGACGTTTATAAATGATATATTAAGTGAAAAAATCTTAATAATTGATTTAACTATGAAGAGCAATCTTATATTTCTTACCTTTGCACTCACTGCTCGTCTTGGCTGTTCCCTCCATGCGTCCCATCCACTATCCAAAGAACCCTAAAATTACAAAAACATTTCTTTATATTAAAAAAGTATATTTTGTATTTATTGTAATATGCTATACTCATATATATTCATCTCTATCACTGACTATATAATTTAACACAATTGATAATTGAAATTGGATAACTAATAGAGAAGGTTCGCTTCCAGAACGGTTTCCGTATTGAATATTTGTATTGTTAATTGTCAGCTAATGAAACAAAATAATATAATCCATAAGGTAATAAAGTAATACTACTTATTGTTCTTTTGTATAAAGATTACGGAAAGACTTCGTTAAAGACGATAATATACTGGTAAAAATAGAATTTTGGTACGCACAATGAGAAGTTTGATAAACCAAGAGAAATATAAGAATCATTGAAATAATATGTAAACATACAATATTTTTGTGGCATACAAACTATACATATCCAATATATAAAATTCTCGTGACACAATATTAGTTACGATACTCCTCCGAAACGGCTTGGCTGATTTTTATGTAATTTTATATGTATATATTCAGTAGGCCTGAGAATTATCTAGTATCTATTTTTAATACCCCTAAGTGCTGAATAAGTGAAAATGATTAATAAATGTTATTTTAACGACTCTCTTGTCATGAGAAAGTACCCAGTCAACAGTGGGTTATATTTTTAAATTGTTGTTGTCACTGAGTATCATCTGTTGCTTTTGATGACACTTTTGTCATGACAAGGAAACCATGTCAACGGTGGGTTATTTTTTTTATGTTGGATATGATGACGTCAAGGAGTGTAATGACCGACCTGCGGGAGATCAGCCGTCCTCGTGGCGCAGCAGGTGGCGGAGCGGGCGGCGTCCCCGGGCCGGGACCCGTGCGAGCTGCCTGCGCTGCCCGCACCGCCCGCGCCCCCCGCGCCCGCCGCGCCCCCCGCGCCGCCCGCCGCCCCCGACGACACGCCCCGGCCGCGCCTCTCTGCGCGGCGGCTACTGGCCTGCACAGGATCACAACGCTACTTTCACATCAAATCTACACTTCGCATCGAAATTCAGATTATATTTATATCATATGCAGTTATTGGAATTTTTGCAACAAACATAATAATCCTCCTTAAACGCCACATAAAAAAAATCTATAGTCCTATAGATGCAGAGTCTTTGTGAACAGAGGAACAGGCTAAACTTTATACGCGCGAGGCAACTTTTTAATGATTTAATTATTCTTCAGTACAAATGTTGCAACTATTCAGAAACAATATATTTCATTCAAGCAAACCATTTTTTCGAAAAAATAAGGTATACGAAAAGATTATGATTTATGCTTAAGTAAGGAATAATAAAAAGCCATGCAGCTTTGTCAGTTCGACTCTTTAAATTAAAAAACTATAAAGTCTGTATTGATCCATCAGAGCCTAAATTCTTGTCATAGGTACTAAAGATATATATCTTTAGTACCTGTTACGACAACCTGCCTGTCTCTAGTATTGGTGTAGATGCCACAGAAAGATAAAATGCAACATACTTAAAATTTTATAATTATCGATTTGACACGAGCGTGATAATTTGCAAGCTATATTGCACTGCATCACGTTAGTACTAAGGTTGATTTTTGTTCAAAGTTCCAGTTACAATGCATGTCGATGCATTGTATTCACGATTGTCGTTTTGACAAGAGTGTGATAATGTGCAAGCTATATTGCACTGAATAATGGAAACACTAAGGTTGATTTCATTATTCTTTTTGTTCAAAGGCCCAGCTTACCTGTCGGCCGGTCTCCTTGCCGGCGGTGCGCGCGCGCATGTTCCGCTCGCGGCGCGCGCCGCCTCCCCCGCTGGCCGCCCCCCCCGTCCCGCTGCCGCCCCTCTCTTCGCTACGTCTCCGCGGGGAGCTGTTGTCTTGAGTACTACCGTATGCTACGTGAACAAACATAATTAATGCTTATTTCATACATATAACCCATTAGTCAAATATATACGAAAAAGATACTTCAAACGTTGGTTCAATATAATAAACATAAAGTAGCTTTGTATACAATTAAAGCAAATAAATTATTCATTGATAAAACTAATATGAATTTAGTTATTCCGATATTAAAATAATTTTTTTAAAATAAAAATATTACCGGCTTCCTCTTGCGTCCTTTCGTGTGAATGTTCTCTAAGTAATCCCGCTAAAGATGATGCTAGTGTCGATGATGTGGGTTTACCCGCACTCGCTAAGCTACCGCGCGTTCCGGCTGCAAACAAAACCCAAAATATATTAATTTTGGAAAAAGTATAGAAATTCCGATGTGTATATAAAGGGAAGCGCTTGCAGAAAATCTAGTATTGCCAGCATGCAATTTAGATATATTAAGTACACATCCGCTGCTGCGTACTATTAAATACGCAGTAAACATATCACACCTTCCTGGATATCCTTGTTATGGTGATATGTGATGGTTCGGTAACATTATTTAGCTCTAGCATTGACACGAAAGAAGAACTACCCTAGATATACATAGTATACGTCATACCGAGCGAGGTCCTGGAGAGGTGTAGCGCGTTGTGGCGGGGCGTGGTGGCGGCGCGTCCCCCCGCGCCCCCCGCGCCGCCCGCGCCGGCCGCGCCCTGCTCGGCCGCCCCCACCTCGCACGTGCCGCCCCCACTCGAGCAACCCTCGCCGCAACGACGACGGATCCTGCGCGTTATCATAATATTAATAAACTATTTATTAGCCATATTCTGATCCGCGCGAGATTCTTTCTCGTTCTCTTTGTCTACGTTTACATACAAATAGTTTCCTTAATGAAAGCCTATTCGCGTGTAACAAAGCATACGTGTAAAGGTAGCACAAGTGGCATACAAAAGTAGTATAGGTCGAGTAGTCGATATCGACAAATATCGTTCTTTTCCCGCCGTAGAAAACAGTAGCAACGTAGGGAACATTTAATCGATTGCAGTAGGTATGTCTCCTTCGAAGACGTACCTTTGCATTGTAAAGGTACGCCTTCGCATGGGCGATGCATATACAACGTATTTATATGTATACTACCACATGCATATTATACGAATCGAAACGCAACATACTAGAAATAGGACATAATACAACGTTTACCATTTAATCTAATTTAATATTAGTGCCATATTAGCGTATTTGTTGAATGTTATGTGGTGTCGCATGGTGTGGCACGTACCGTCTCCACAGCGCGACCACTTGCCGCTTGAGCACGGCGGCGGTGAGGGGGCGGCCCAGCAGCGTGGCGAGCTGCGGCGACGTGTCCGCGTACGACGTCGTCAGCGGCGACACGTAGATCGGGTATCCGATCGGCTGGTCGCACGACGAGTTGATTATGTTGCGCAGCGCCTGTCCACATATAACACAAACATTAACATGCAACAGTTCCTTTTTTTACACTACGTACGTGGCAAACAAGCATACTGATGATAAACAGGGTGTCATGTGCGTGTTGCCACTTAACAAACCTTAATATACCCTTCTTAAAAACTCCATGCTGTAGTCTCTCCAAAAAACCTCAACAGGTAGTTATATATTCTAATCTAAGTGTAAGCGGGAGAAAGCTGCTCTGAAACCGCACTGTCGAACAATGCGGTTTCAGAGCATCTTCTCTTCTTTCGACCACTTAGGTTCCAGAGTGTGGGGATGAATTCCCTATAGATGGCGGGCGTTGCGATGGTAAAACGTAGCCGTGAACATGTTTTAAAGGATAAACAGAACAAATAAAAAATAACAAGCTTTAACACGGGGGCTTCGATAAATTACGTACTCAAATTGTACTGAATTTTTAATTCGCTCATCCTCATAATGATCACATTCGTGAGACTTACTTTCGTAAGCCTACAAATTAAACATTTAAATCGTGTAGTGTTGGAAATATTTTTAAGTTTATTTGGTCAATACTTAAAATTTTGTATTTGTCGACGTCGAAAGTCGAAGATATGAGGCATTTTATGATAAGGTTTTTGGGACGAAGATTATTTTTATGTTATTAATAAAAAGTGTAAATATAGAAAAATGAGGTCACAAAATAATATTCGTCTTAATGCCTTGTCAGAAAACGTCTTGCACCTTCGACTCTATTTCCCATTTCTTAAAGGATCTAACATAGATGCCCCATTATACCACTTTCATTAAATACCGCGTAAGCGTATAGTATAGTAGTAACAGATATGGCAATTATTAGTTTAGTCAAATGGTAAGCTATGTAACAATCAAACATGTATATTTGAATAACAATTAAATTTGTAAATTGGTATACATTTACATTTTAAAGTAGTCTCAATAAGTGTTATTTAATATTCTTTTCACTATAGTCCAATAACTGTATGTTTACACAGTAGGTAGCGACTTATTACCAGTCCATTGGTATATAATAAATTACAACTCTATACATTGTGCGCTGTAGCATGGCGCGGGTGACAGTTTCAGTAATATTTCGTTTCCGTCTTGAAAGTTACCGCGATTTACAAATTAACTCTTAGTATTTCAGCTGTACCACATTCGCAATATATTAAATAATTAATAACTGTAGTACCTTAATTTTAATCCAGCTATAATAATAAAGGCAACTGTCACCCGCACCATGCTACATCGCACAAAGTATAGTTGCATCTGAACAATTTGTACATACCTGTTTCGCGTTTTGTATGGATCCACGCTCTGGATTTCTGTTACGTAGGTAGATGAGTTCTTGCTGTTGACCCGCCCATAGACCGCGCACACACTCGCGGTTCAATTTGATCACACGGAACCCCAAGTGGCGCTTGTTCAACATGATTATTTTGTAGTCGTCGTTTCCTTCGTCCATTACATGTCTGTAAGGTAAAGTAACAACCTTAGATTTTTGTAATAATTATAAATATAATGTCGTTACATTGTTAGACATTTAATTATTATTACAAAATACAAATTTGTAGTTAGTATAATAGTTTCTTATTTGTCATTTAAGATGTTTGTTTCGGCTATATGGAGGGTTATACGACTGTAGGGATTTGAATAAGTACAGCTCGGTACGGTACCTGAGCGCGAGCAGGTGCGGCGCCCCACGCAGCACGTTGTAGCGCCACGCGGGCGCCGCCTCGTGGCAGATCACGAGCCGCTCCGCGTGAGATGAGATCGTACAATGTAGTACGTACAGCACGGTACAGTACCTGAGCGCGAGCAGGTGCGGCGCCCCACGCAGCACGTTGTAGCGCCACGCGGGCGCCGCCTCGTGGCAGATCACGAGCCGCTCCGCGTGAGATGAGATCGTACAATGTAGTACGTACAGCACGGTACAGTACCTGAGCGCGAGCAGGTGCGGCGCCCCACGCAGCACGTTGTAGCGCCACGCGGGCGCCGCCTCGTGGCAGATCACGAGCCGCTCCGCGTGAGATGAGATCGCCTCGTACAGCGCGCCGCTGTCGCAGTACTCCTCGGGGAACATGAAGTGGTCCTGCGGAGCAAGGATAATGGATTTTTTTTTTTTTATACATGACACATTGAGTGACAAATAATCTTAGATAATGATGTTAAATACTACCGTAGCTATGGAAGACTGAAAAATTTGACCATAGTAAATAGATAAGCCATATTATGTAGTTAAATAAAATATAAAAATACCTCGGCATTAGTTCATTCCACAATCTAAGTGTACGCGGGAACTAATAATCCTCTGAAACCGCACTGTACGAGACCACTTAGGTTCCATAGATGAATTCCCTGTCGATGGCGAGGGCCATCCGATGGCTGGAGCCAGTACAGAGTGTAACAGCCGTAGGCATCATGTGAAACAATTCATCAGAACACAGTTATGCGAAAGTCGCCATTGTACAGAGAGGTAGAACACACAAAGCGATGCGAAGTCTCGCCTCAAGCAGTAAATATTCGATTACCGTTAGAGAGATAATGGGATCATCGAAAGTAAATTCTCAATAGAACGTCTCTGAACAGATAAATTAAAATAAAAACACGAGCTGGTATTTTTCAAAGATGAGAGCAGTACTCCATGTGCGGCCGAACTTGCGACTTCGCATCACAAAAGAAGTCTCTGGTTCGCTTTTAAGTATTGAAACTTCGCTCTATTCAGCACAATTTATGGACGCCAGCTTGACCTTTTCTTCGAGATGATACAGAACTCAACTGTGCTAGAGATGTTAAGCAATCCCAATAAATAGAGATTAAATGGACGTGTTCTGGAATAAGAGCCACAGCAAAAGGGTTTTCTTATGTGAGACGCGCAGGCTTGTGTCTTGGTAGGGTTGAATTGAAGTTCAATCGCCCCCAATCGGAGACTCTGGTGAGAGTACTGGAGGTGGAGAGGTGCTCTCGATTTCAGACACGCGCTGTCGCGCAAGCTCAGCGACTCCACAACGGAAAGCGGGATGTTGCCCGCGCGCACGGCCCGTGTAAGACGCGTCCCCAGTACTGTCATCGCGCATAGCAATGAATGTCAACCGTAGTTAACAAATCATTAATATGCAGCAAAAACATGTCGGGGAAGAAATGTAATATTTTATATTTCTATATATGCTATTTAAAATAGAAAACTACCGTCAACCACGGTTTTGATGCATCTGCACACAGACAAAAAACTAGCGACCCATAAAAATAATTTATTAATCTGGTATTCCGTATGAGGGCAATTTCGATAGAAGACCTCGATGCCAAACCCGATCGAATGCCTTCGCCATATCAAGGCTGACTGCCAACGCCTCACCTTTGCTCTCGATGACAAGAGCCCAGCGGTGTGTGAGATACACTAAAAGATATACCAGTTGAGCTAGATTATATTCAAACATATTAACGGATGTTAAATACTAAGCATAAGACTGAAAAATTTAGACCATAGTAAATAGTTTGATAAGCCATATTAATGTAGTTAAATAAAATATAAAAGTATATCATTATTTCATACAGATTATTAATGTTTACCAACTAATAATACTCCTTCTGTTTAACAGATTATCTATGTTATAAATATTTCTCATTTATATACCTGATGAAGCTTGAGGGCCATCCGTATGGCTGGAGCCAGTACAGAGTGTAACAGCGACATGTCGGTGAACACCCACTCGTCTCGTGCGCATGTTATGCGAAAGTCGCCTTTGAACAGAGAGTGTAGACCGTAGAGGAAGAATTCCACACTGCAAACAGTAAATATTGCAGGATTAATTGATAGTATAATAGCTTGAAAGTAAAGAACAATAGAATAGAAAATTCTTAATTCAGATAAATTAAAATAAAAACACTTTTGAATAAACATACTTATTTTTCTTAATTTACCACTAATTCGCAATACTTACTTCGCATCACAAAAAGAAGAACGTGTTGCTCTTTTAATTCATTGAAACTTTTCATTTATCAGATGTAATTTATGAATATAACTAGCAATAACTCTTAGAGTCAATATTAAATACAGAATCAACTGTTTAAGCAACTAAATAAGATTAAATAAGTCCTAGCGATAAGAGCAAACCAGGCCCTGCAAGCAAGATTCTTTTATGAGTATGACAGATGATCCTGCCAACTGGTCTAGCGTATAGTTGATTTTCGAATTGTAAGGCTTGTGAGTGATGTTCAGCAGCGTATGTCGTATCGTATTATCAGTACCTGGAGGTGGAGAGGTGCTGTGCGGCTGCGAGCGCGCGTCGGCCGAGCAAGCTCAGCGCGAAGCACAGCGTCACCAGCGCCGGCTCCTTGCCCGCGCGCCGCCGCCAGCCCGCCCCGCGCCGCATCGCGCAGTGCCCCACCCACTCCTGGTACACCGCGCAGAACCGGCTCCTGCGACCGACACGTCCACCACATATTACTTTTATATCCTCTAATTACATTAACACTGCTGCTGCGGGATAGATAAATAAAATTAAATACATTAATTGTTAAATTTGAAAAAAAAATATATATTTTAATATCTTTATATATGTCATAAATTTAGAATATAAGAAATTAACTGTATCATATACGGCCTTAAACGGCCCAGCAATCCTGCTTTTTGGCACACAGTCACATAATTTTAATATTGTTGTTTTTAATACTAAATAAAATAAAAATAATTTATTAATGTAGGAGGTTAAGTCCCTTATGAACGTCGAGTGTTTTGTATTAATATTTTTCCCTACCATCCAATTCAGTCTACAGCTTAGTTTCAGTTTTGTTAGTCTGCAACATGGCTTTTGTTTTAGTTTACCTTTTACGACTAAGACTGTATATATAAACTGACGAACTAGTACTTATATTCAAACAATTGTCTTTACCTAGTTATACCAGAGGCTCTGAAGTCATAATCTTCATCCAGATTGACATTGAATATTGGATCCAAGTCTACGAATGATCTCTCGTTCATCGGTTTCAGAGCTTCGATTAAAACAGGCGATGCCAACCATTCTTCTAGTTTACTCGACTGTATTGTGTAGTAAATTATACTCTGTAAAAAAGCCAAATTTACACATTATTAAAAAGAAATTAAATAACTATATCGGAAATAAGTTCTTTCTTACGTCAAACTGACGTAACTAAATAAAAACATCTGGTTTCCAAGACTATACTACCTACTGTATTTGTTTATTTGTTTTCAAGAGCACACTATTCAATAATAATTAGTCACAGCATTGGACCTGACGTTCATAATTATTATTGAATTTATCGTTATCATGAACGTGTTAATATATGTGGCACACAAGCCACGTTGGATATAATTACTTGGCTTAATGAATATCTAATTATAAACTCAGAAGCGTGAAATCCTGTATTAATTTCTAACACTTGTACTCTAGATATACAATAAAATCGATTCTTATCATTTGATTTGTCAGAATTTTATAAAAAATGCAAATCAAACATTAATTTAATATTATATGATAATGTTCAGGAATATGTGTTTTTATTTAAGTAACTCGAAAGACTATGAAGAGTCTAGACCCTGTAACGTATATCTAAATTATTTTATAATTAAAAAACAAAGAATTATAAATAGGTATTTAGGGAAGATGAAAGTTCAAAAAGTAGATGCAAAGTTGTATGGAAGTAAACTCAACAAGTTCGTAAAAACAGTGTTCGGCAAATCATAATTTTTTTATAAAACTTTTTTCTTAGAGATTTCAGTTTGCCGTTTATTAAATACTGCCTTATTATCGACATATATCTGTCAGGTGTTATGTTCATATTTATTTTCAAAATATCGACTTGATAACGCGATATTAAGTTGATGTCCAGGTAGAATTTAATAAAACTGAACCACCATTAATCAAATTCAAAATGGGAACTTCAAAACAATTTAAAATAACTTCATTAATACGACCATACATTTAGTATGAAAATCTCAAAATATTGTTACTTGTACAGAAATGAGTCTACTCATCCTTGTACAAGTTATTTCTATTAAGATATTAAATTTATTATTCATCATGGAACGATATCACCGCCTATGTAAACGGTATACATCGACGAGATCTCAATAAGTGAAGAAAAAAAAGAAAAAAGGGGAGGAAGAAATTATCGGTCATTCTTGAAGAGTGTATACAATATTTTTATTGGTTTTATATGGTGTGTTGTATTCATATGAATGTTATTGAGACATAACCATTTATTTAAAATAAAACTTGAACAAACAATATACATAAAATATCACTATTTGTGTATTTCTTCTATTAGTATTTTAAAAGCTATTTCTATGAATATTGCTCTAAAATTTCAAATATATAAGGATATAATTTTTCATGTGCATATTTTCCCCAAACGAAATCAAGATGATTAAATTTCTTGTCAGGCAATATTTGATACCGCACTACGTTTGATAATTCGGCATTTAGGGCTTCTACGTCTTCTACGGTGGATAAAAAATCATTTTGACCAACCAACAAAGCCGTCTTTGCTGTCACTTTTGACAGATCAAATTTCGGTGGTGTCGGAGTCCCATAAACTTCTATATTTTTTATTGCTCCATAATCATAATCAGCAAATGCATTCCTATTTGCAATTTGGCTTAAATGATATATATTCTTTAAACTATTTCCACTTGGATAATGACCAAAGATTACACGTATAAATTCGGGCTCTATTTCTTCACTATCATAGCCCGCTGCTGGAAAAATAGCACCTTCAAAGCAAAGTTCATAACTTTCCATTTGGGTGCACAAAACCTCTATAAACTTTTTTAGTGAAGAATCCTCTTGAAACACCGCAACAATTCCCTTTAATTTCAATGCAGTGTATATGGCAGGTGCTACTTTAACACCTATCGCCCCTAGACCTCTCATGTGGGTTAAATATGCTATGGGAGCTAAAGCAATAAAAACATTGATTTTGTCGTTATACTCTGGTCTTCCCGATGTGAGAACAAAAAAACTTGCAGTTCCTTGAGAATGTCCGATAACTGTTAATTTTTCTTGATTAGTGTGCTGTAACACACAGTCTATAGAGGCACTATAATCATAATTGCCTAACTCATACAAACTGTAATTCCAGTAGTCTTTATCTTCTTCGGCATTCAATATCTCGTGGCCTAAAGAATATCTACTTCCTCTAAAACTCCCAACCCATACGTCATATCCTGCATTAGCTAATGTGATAGCCAGAGATGTATTTCCTCTTATAATGAATGTATCTGATGAGTCTATGATACCGTGCATTAGAAGTATAGGTCGACCTTTTCCGGGAATATTAAATAGTGTAATTATGTACTTGTCCTCGGTGGTCACGGAGTACTGTTCACATTTTTGTCCATATTTCACAGCGAGTTCACTAAAATTGAGTTTGCCATCCTCTGCCAAGTGACTTTGAAGAGGAGAATATTTATTTATAATTTCTGTTGCGTTTATATCGGGGATCATGGTTTCTATTTCACTGACAAATTTAGAATATTTATCAAGTAGGCTAGACTCACATAATATAGGTAGAATTAAAATTACTAAAAGATTTTCTATTCTTGACGGCAACATACTGAAATATATATATGTTGGCCTGAACACTCTCCAATAATAAATGTCTATGGTTTCTTTTTTATATATTTATTCTGTGCGTAAATGAAAGGTGTTTACACACAATGTTACATTTCATACAATAATAAGGTACACATATCAAAACAGTTACGGTAGAATAAACTTGATAACATAGATAAGATCTCTCATTGTTACTCATATATAATAATAATTGTAAATTGTATTCTATGATGCGGTGACTTCCAATAAGCAGATGTACTCTGTAATCTACTCTCAAAATAGATTTAAATACATCTGCATACTATTCTTTTTAAACATAATCCAGACTAAACCGTATAATCTATAACAAAGTTAGTAAGTTCTTTCATTGAGCACGAAACATGAAATTAATACTTTGCTAGTGTGTATAAATTAAGAGTGATAAAAAATTGAGAAATGAGTGTTCAATGTCTATGGATCTGAATTATTTTACAGAGTAGACTAGACCGAAAGGTCGGCTGTCGCAAAGCTCATTGTCAATAACAGTTTCATAAAATCTCATTCGTAGGTGTTTATAAGTGTGTGTGACAGTTTTGAAAGTATAAGATTTTTTAAAAGTAATAATCATATATAGGTATATCTTAGTATACCTTACGTACGGTTATTACTTTTAAAAACTAAGTGTATCTCTGTGTGTGTCATTTGTCACCTTTTTTGGATTGTTATTCAGTTAAATAGTCTTTGTTTTTCTTGATGCTTTCCTTATGAACAAATATAAATACAGGTTTTTATTAAAGATTTTTGCAAGGTTTTGCCGACCTTACTTTTATGACGTGCGTATATTATTCGCCAATATATAAAATTCGGCGCGGCTTTGTAGATTCATATTTAAACATATGTATCAGCACAAGTGTTATATTGATTTAATTATTTTATTTTGAGCCTATTGCTGTCAACGTCGAGTGCTGGAAGATTACCAGATTACTAATTCGAGTGCCATCAACGTAAAGACAATACACTGAATTTAGCTTATTATTTAATATATATTGTTTTTATCTTATCGTATTTGTATATTCACAGACTATATTTAACATCGAATAAGCTAAATTAAATTGTTTAACAATCCGTAACATTCCGTTGTAAACCAGTCGTGTCTGTACATACATATATATATATATATATATATATATACAATCAAACAATTTATTTTTTTGTTACCGAGTTACAATAAAATATTTCCGAATTTGTGTCTGTATGTCTGCGTAAATGTACACGCTAATATATTTCGTATGTAGGGGATAGCCCGTGTAATGGTTTCTAATATATTATATCTATATAAACTTTAACTATGTCAAATGTCACGTCTGTTCAATTATAATAAGAGGTGTTAATAAGGATGTGTCGATACGCACCTTGACGTAGTAGGTGAGCAGCATCTTGCGAAACTCGAAGACCTGGAGCATGGAGACGGCGCTGTTGTCAGTGACGGAGTACCCCTCGAGCACGTAGCGCGCGCTGGCGAGCTGCCAGGCCAGCCAGCGCAGCGCCCACGCCGCGCCCGGCGCCAGCACGCGGCCGCCGCACGCGCAGCCGCCGCACGCGCCCAGCCACCCGCAGCCCGCGCACCACCCGCACCACCACGCGCCCGCGCACACGCCCTCTGACGACACCACGCCCGTCTTACTAATCCTAGTTCGCGAATGCCCTCTGCCGTGAGCTCGCCCGTCTTAGTAATGCAAGTTCGCACCGGCCTCTGCCGCGAGCACGCTTGTCTTAGTAATCCTAGTTCGTACCCGTCCTCTGCCGCGAGCAAGCTCGTTTTAGTAATCCTACACACCCGCCTGCGCTCACCGTAGCTCACTTCTTAACTTAGGTTAAGTTTAGTTTGTGCGGATGAATACCGTGCGTCCCCACACGGCCTGCGTCTTATTCGCAGTTTAAGGAACACCAAAGGATTTTAGTGGGTAAATATTCCACAGAATACGTTCACACCCTTTCTATTTTATTTTAACAGTTAAATTTAATTTAATTGTAAATATTCTTATCAAATTATGTCTCTAGATTAAATTACTTCGTTAAGTAGTAGCTGCCCTAAAAGTTTCATAATTTAATTACCCGGGGGTTGTTAGTAAAGGGGTAAAGAAGTTCGCCCTGAAGCCCCACTCGTCTGTAATGGAGGGTGCGGATGACCATTATCAGCTGACCATAGTGAACAATCTTAAGAGCATGAAGTCAGCTCAATTAGCCCAACCTTTCAAATTTATCAAAATTAACGACGATGGTTTCCAGAACCGCGTGGAGGTCGACCTGACTTGATACATTGCTGGAATAGTGAGTAAAAAGAGGTATATAGACGATTGTACTTAGGTATCTCGGTAGATCAGTATTTTATGCCTCGACCAGTGAGAGCAAATGAGTCGTGGCAAACAAGCTCCCATCATTTTCTATTATTGTACGTTTAAATGGATGATTTCCTAATCATCCATTTAAAAATACAGGATAGATTAAATGTGTACCATATTTAATACTATTGGCCCGTGAGCCCGCTACAGGTCACATTGACCTGTTCCTCCTGGTTTAAAACTTCTAAAATGGTTATGGCAGTCCCTATTGGCCTCCCACCCTTGGACACGCAGTTGACTTTCACTAGACTTCATAACACAATTAAAACAAAATCTTATTTATTTTACAAGTTTTCGGCTGAGTGAAAATGATTGTCGAAATTAGGCCCTAGCTCGGGTACTATAATAGGACTCACCATTACTTTCTTCAGGGCCCTCAGAGATTGCCTCCACCTCTCGTTGCTGACAATACGTGCCCCTAAACTCGAGCCCGCGTAGTTGGAATGATACTAGTCCGTTCCCCATTTCCACAATATGAACCAGACAATTCAAATAATCTGATGCTAAAACTGAAACGGAAGACCCAAATTAATTATGTCAGATTAACTTATATTTTGCGATTGTGATTATGGGCTCAGTGGTCTAGCAGTTTGGCACACCGCCTAACTTCCGATGATCGAGGGTTGGTTTCCTCGGTACAAACATTTGTATTCATGAGTGTGTTTGTTTGTATCCATCTCAGTGCTTTCATACAAAAATAAATATATCTATGTATTTGTATAAACAATATAACTTAAAATAAAGCTAAGTAATCTGACGGTCCACCTGTTGAAAAGTGGGGATCGTCGCCTATAGACAAAATGCCCTGACTCGTCGTCACATGTGGACTGGCTTTGCCTTTTGCCTTTCATATAATAAAAACGACAGGACAGTTGAAATATAACATATAACTATTTATCTGGAATACCAGAAGAATTATTCAAATCTCTTATTATTGTTTAAAAATAAATTAAATATTCCTCTTTCTCATTAGAAAGAGGAATATTTAATTTATTTTTAGATAGAGAATTACATTACAATTTAAACGAATTAGAGATACCTATGATTGCACCAGTTCAAAGCAGGGATATGTGTTGCTTATGGGACACAGTTTCTTGATACTTCAATGTAATACTTGCAATTAATTAGTTAAGGCTACTAAGACACACTAAATATTGTTTACTAAACACTACACAAATTCTGTCACCCCACCTGACATTTTTACTGTTGTTATTTTATAAATAAGATCAATATTTTAATGTTGAATTGTCAGTTCACTCTAATCTGTTCATTCATCGTATCAATCGACAACATCGTAAAATTATTCCGCAACACCATTAAAAATATTAACAGCCGTACCAAAACAGTCCCCTTGTTGAACTTGGCCCCATCTGCCGAGCATGAGATCGCCGCACAAGTAATGTTGAAGCGAACGCGTTAAATGTTCATAGAATATCGAGTTCAAGTTATTGTCATCTGCAATAAAGGAAATTATATTATTGTACAATGCAGTAACTATAAAAAAGCAATAATTACAAGTAGTTTCCATATCATTGCCTTGTTTCCTCCTTGTTTTCATATAGTAAAATTATTTATTACCCAATTTCACATTCAGATTAAGAGCTTATATATACTTAATTCTAACAGCATTTTGCATTATTTAATTGTATTTTAAAACTACTATACCATATTATATTACTATACAATACTCATTTTCTGTTTAATAATCAGCATTATAAATAAATATAGTTATAAATTATCAATCTTCTTCACCATCATGTGGTGTTTAGTATGTTTGAGGTCCCATCCAAATAAAAGTTAGAATGAATAATTAGTTACTAAGATTCATCGCCTATTTAGACCACCAAATAGATTTATATGAACAGCGCTACGGGCATCACGTTATCATGTGACGACCGTAATACTGCACGCATATCCTATTGTTACGTCTTAGCATTAGGTATGCCGAGAGCTTGTTTACCTTTCTAACTAAATATATATATATATATATGTAGAGGTAAGAGTAATATATATCTAAGTGCAATACCTGCGCCAAGGTTCCGCTCGAGCTGCGATGATAGCCTCGTATTGCTCTGGTCTACTCGTTTAGTATTGTAGTCCCGCTCCCAGAACTTAACGGGTCGCACATAGGATGTCATGAATATAGCACTACCTGTAAATCGGAACTCTAGTTAGTGAAAGTTATCTTTCACGGCAGGTGCTACATAGGATAGATGTCCTTCTTACAATTTTTGTCTTCTTACAATAAACATTTATAATAGATACCTTTATAAAAAACTTCCTATTACGCGCGATTTAGCGCGGCAAAATAAACGCGTGCAATACTGTGTGATTACATTTTACTATTTCTTTGTAATTACTCTTTCGTGCATATATTTCAAGTCATTATACTTTCTTTTAAAATTTTATTATTTATTCACTGATTTTAGTTGCTAAAACCACTATTAAGAATTATAAATTATTAATAACTTTGTAATTATGTCTTTCTCTATAGTCAGATGTTCTTCATTTTGCAATGACAATGAATGACAATTACAAAAAGGCGCTAAAGCACTCATTATTGTAGAATGCGGGAATGTGCAAGATTGCAGCGCGCGCGGTTCCGTCATGGTCACATTTACATACACATTATTTTCTGGGTAAAATCCGATTCCTGCGTGAAAAAGTGTATGTGTAAAGGTAGCTATTGAGATAGTACGTACAGCAAAGCAAAGTGATAGCATACAAATGAGAATGTTTAGTGAAATATATTTGAATTAAAATATTAAAGTTTTTGTACTGTGTCTGTTCAATTAAGCGAATGTTATATACCTAGTGCGGGCGTGAGTGGGGAGGACAGCAGCGCGGAGAGGGCGGCTTGCAGGAAAAGCATGGCGGAGTGCGGCACGGAGAACGGTTGCGCAAACGCGTGGAATGCGCTGCCCCACGTGATCTGCCATGGTGCGATGTATGTCACTACGAACTGGATCTAAACAAACAATGTTTTTTAAATCTAGAACTGTAAAAAGTAATTAAATATTAATTAAAATAGTAATCATTCTTACCTTAAGCAAAAACTCGTAAACTTTGTTAAAAATAATAGCCGTTATAAAATAGTCGACGAGGAATGTTTCCGAAATGTTTTGACTGCTCAGGTCTCGTTGAAAAAGTAGAATTGCAAACACGAGGACAAGGTATTGAGTATCTGGTTCTGAATAGGCGTTCCTGAGACCTGCGGTAAAAATTATATTTACATTAAAAATATACATTTATTATTAGGATTAGATTCAACATTAAAAATACATGCAACCTCAAATTGTCACCCATCTGCAATGAAACCTTATTTTTGATAGCGTTATTATTAGTACATTAAAAAAATTCTATTCTCGGTGGGCGATAAATTATATGGCATTAGAATTTATATGGCAAAACAACGTCTGCCGAGTCAGCTAGTTTTATCTTACTAATATTATAAATACGAAAGTTTGTAAGTATGGATGGATTTTTGTTACTCTTTCACACAAAAACTAGGGAACGGATTTTGATGAAACTTTACAGTAACATAGCTTATACATCAGAATAACAAATAGGCCGTAATTTAAAAATATATTATGTAAATTAGGTGAAATATAATGATAAATGTTAAGTAAGTGTAATGCAGACGACGTAGTGCGCTAGTATATTATAAAGATATACAAAAACAATGTATTTAAGAAAGTCTAGTGGTTCAAACCAACATTACACATTCTGCTTCGTTTGGGTCTATATGGCGGTAAAAGAGAAAACAATTTATTTACTAATATATACGCCGAAGTTTATGAGTGTGTATATGTATCGATTGGATTTTAATGACCTTTACAATAATATAGGTTATACAATAGAATAACACATAGGCTATATGTTCAAGCGCGTGAAACCTCAGGCATAGGTATATATAAAATGTGTGCGTTAGTACATTTGAGTGCGCAGACACAGAGCAGCAGCGCTGCGAATGCGTCCCCGTACTTGGCGGCGAGCGCCGGCGCGGCCTGCGACGTGGCCGCCACCACCACCGCCGGGTACAACACGTTACGCTCCAGGAAGCACAGGTACACGAATATCTACAGTAGAAAGAATGCCTCAATGAGCAATCATACAAAAAAAATGGAAACTTTCTAACGATGTTTATAGTATTTTATGGAGAGGTCGAAACATAAGAATCACTTAGCTGACTGACGACCTAGGTGGTCAGGTGGTGTAGCACATCGCCTTACTTCCGATGGTCGCGGGTTCGATTCCTCGCACGACACAAACATTAGCATTCATGAGTATGATTGTTTGTATCGGTCTGGGTGTTTTCTATATACATATATATATATATATATATTTACGGAAAAATTGCATCATTTATCTAGTGCCCATAACACAAGCTTTAGTTAGCTTAACTTGGGTCTAGATGACGCTGTGTGAATTGTCCTGAGATTATTATTATTACTTATGTAGCTAAATTTCAATTATGGACTATTGTTGTCAGTTGCGATATGGCGCCATTGAATATCGACATACTGAACTAAATAATTAGCCCATAATTTATTCTTACTTATTGTTGCAATCAATTTTCCAAAACCGGCATAGAATTGCACTTTTATGTAAAAAAAAAAACTACTTAGAGAGAAAACACTGTAATAGTTAAAATAGACGTGGAGATTCTATATAAAGAGGAAGAAATCTACATATATTGAATATCACCAACAGCCAATAATTGGCGTTAGAAAAAAAAAACAGAAAAGTATAATATCATCTAATATGATTTGGTTACCTTTTCAAAGCACATGAGGCGTGCGGGTTCAGTGACTTCGAATTGAGCATGCTCGTGTTGACGCAAGACTGGCCCCGCAAGACAGAGCCAAGGTTGCTGCTTACGGAGTTGGGGTATTAAGTAGTGGAGTATCCACCCCATTATACCTGCTATTATCCACAGGACCTGCAATACCACACTTAATGATTAGATTAATATAAATAGACAAGAATCAGAATTAAAATATGTTACAAATTGAATATCTAAATGTGTTATTGGAATGATTAATAGAAGCACAAATATAGAAACCAACTAAATTAACTAACTTACCGTATTAAGCTGAGGCCTAAGAGTCGTAAATACGGTGGTGCAATGTAGACCGAATACGAACAGCCCAAGAAAAGTGCACACTATGAGATCGTTCTTGAGGCGTGCGTTCACTGTCGCCTGTAATTTCTTTGGTAAAGGATCCTCCATATCCTCCTCAGGTTTATCTGTAGCTTCTTGTTTATTGGTCGAATTATTTAAGTTCGCATCACGAGCCTTGTCCTCCATTTCTGTTGGAGGATCAACTTTTAGAGAAGTTGAAGAGTTCATGGTATCCCCTGCTCGAGGGTCCATCTTGAGAGAGCTAACACTAGAAGTCTGAGATCGCTTTTGAGATCTAGCAATGTTCGTTTCCGAACTAAAATTTATTTTCGATGCGGAACTCCCGATCGAATTTTGCTTAGATATATTACTTTCCGAGTTGTTTTTCTTATCATCGCTCAATGTATTTTGTTCTTCTTTATTATGTCCTGGTGAACATTCTGGATTATGAATCACATATAATTCAGGTGGTAAAAGATGTTTCTTTATCAAGTTCCAAATTAAAGTATAATCACTAGCACTTCGACTTAAATGATATGCTATTGGAACAAGAAGTCCGCAAAAAATTGAAAATAGAATGTTGTGTTTTTGGTGCTGAGATTTCTTGCCTTCTACTAAACCACTGTACGCGAATCCATACAACACGCCAATAGCAGCTAATGATCGCACTATGCAATACACAGCTGCGCTCAAGCTGCTGGTGGCATTACCACCGAAAACATGCATATCTATCTGTTCTAATAAATACATTAAAAAAGTATTGACCTGTGGAAACAGACCTAAACTAAAGGCCAATGGAAAAAATAATAAGAATTTGGACAAGCCCTCTTGAATAATAAGTAGAAACTCTCGCTCTTTCAGTTCAAATCCATATATTGTAAATGGTTTAGTGTCATCGAAACTTCTTTTTATTCTTGTATCGACTTCGCCAGTTACAGGGCTCTGTTCTATGCAACTATGAACTGCGTACAAAATAGCGGTACATAAGCAAAAATATACTGGTCTAGAAAACACGACCATTTTATTGAAACCATGCACCGGTGATGCCGAATCTGGTTGAACGCTTTTTAAGAGGGAATACTGACTACCAGCCATTATAAAACAAAACCAAAACGCATATATGTCTCTATAGAAGCCCACGTTTAAAACTAGAGAACCTAGCACAGCAACCGATATTGCCAAGAATATTGTAATGAATGTTTCCTTGAAAGTTAAATTTCGATCAAATAACGCCATCAGTTTTAGTCTATCCATGGTAACCTTTATTTCAAAGCATTTCAATAGTTTGAATTTGTAATAACTCTTTGGTTTTGGTTGATTAACTTTCTCCATTTCGTCCAAGACTTTCGAGAATTTACTTCGTATGTTTATCTCTACACTCTCCTCTCCTATAGAGGGCATCAGACTTGGTATATTATTTGATACACTTTCAGCTTGTTGTTGCGCCTGTTGCTGTGCTCTCTGCTGGTTTATCAAGAAATTGATATGCATGCTTGGGAGACCCATTCGCGACTGCCTTTCTGCTTCAATTTGTTCTAATAAGCTATCTGTGACATATGCTACAGGTGATCTTGGTTGATCTGTGTTAGTTCCACCATCAAATACATAAAAACGTTTATTTGCGTTGTTAGTATTTATAGGAACAACTGTAGACACATTGTTATTACTTGATAATAATGGATTGTTGCTACCCTGGTTAGATGAACTTTGATCAATACTATCTCCGCGTTTCGTTTTTGTTATACTTTCACTATTTCCTGCTTCGGATTCTAAAGACCCACAACTACCTTCTCCTGCAGTTTCTTGGGAATTGTCAGGATTCTCGGCAGGTTTAATATGTTTTAACTTTAGATTATCATCTTTATCTGGCAATGGAATTGGATGAGCTTGGACCCTTCCTGAACTGTTCTTATCAAATGTATATGACATCCAATTACCATGCTCATCCATAAAACAATGTATCGCTCCATCACTCGTATCATCAAAAGACGTTGCGAAGTGGACACTGTTAGAATTATTTGAGTTATCAGTGGTTACAGCTTTATCTTTCTTATCTGCACTGTTATGTGATGGATTATTCCGCTGACGAGTTGATCTTTTAATTTTACGGACACGATTTCTATGATTTCTGTCCATTAAAGGCCTTTGTCTTTGTGTTTCTTCTGATTGGTGTGGAATTTCCGGAGAAGGATTATCAGGTACGGCAGAACACGGCACCATTTCCATTCGAGAACTAATAAATGCCGCCAATAATGGCATTGATGTTGGAAGTAAAGTATTGGTAGATGTTTGTGCCACTTCTTCAATAGATCGTTTTCTTGTTTTATGTGAGTTTTCTCTTTCACCTCTTATACTCTGTCTGTGACTTCGTGATCTGTCTTCTCTGTTTGGAGGTGGCATTACAACTGTATTGGCATTCGTCGCAGCAAATAGACATTCCAAACCCTGTACCAAAGCAGCCTGAGCTTCAACAGCATCCATAAGTATGCGTTCGTCATTTTGATTATCATCTTTTTCTTTTTTACAATCTTTCTTCTTGTTCTCCTTCTGAGACGAAGCTCGAGAACGTGCTAAGTTTTTGATCTGCTTTGGTATGGCTCCCAAGTTTTTTGGAATATTCGAAGATGACTCACCTAAAGCATTTGATGATTTCTGATTAAACGCCTCTTCTGGAATAAACGGACATGACCCTGAAGTATCTAAGCAGCTAGTAAGTATCGGTTCCGGTGATTCCTCAAATAACCAGTCTAAGCTATATACGCTTCTTTCATCTGCACTCTTGCTATCACAGGTCAATTGTGATTCTTCCGTTTCTGGGGCATTGTATTTATGATTATTGTCTTCTGGTGGTTTTTCTAGATTGGTATCACTACTACTGCTAGAATTGGATATATCATGGTCCCAAAGTTTCTTTTCCACAAGTTTTTTATCATTCATTTGTTTATCAGATTGGTCAGCATTTTCATTAGATTCTAAACTAGATTTCTCTATTAATAAGTCTTTGGAACTCGCACTCGCTTTATCGAAATAATCACCATTTGGATTAAACTTACATTCACAAGAATTGGCATGCTGTTCTGGGCGCCTACTTGTATACTGTAAATCATTTTTAGTGAGTTTCTTCAGTCTTAAAGATTTAGATTTGTCATTTGGGCATTCAGAACTGTGTCTAGATCCCGAATGTCTTTCACAACAATATTTTTTGCAGTCACTTTGAACTTTAGTACGGACCACTCTTATATCTGTAGGTCTATCTAGCAAAGGTGATCTAGATCCATTATTCTCGTAATCGGAATCACTAGAGCGAAGAGCAGGTGATTGCTCTGCATCCCAATCAAACCCTCGAAATTGTTTTTCATCTTCATAATCACTATAACTTTCGCCACTAGAGTCCAAATCGGTTTCCTTCTGCGATGTTTGCATTTCGTCTGATATTTCTGCAATAGGATACACTATTTCTGAACCATAACTCAGATAGGGGTAACTACAACCTTCACCGGAATCATTTTTGGGATAAAGATTAAGATGGGGGCCCCGAGTTAAACTTTTACTAGGAGGTGGAATCACAGCACTTTTCGGATTCTTTAGCATTTGTCCACCAATTGTTTCTGCACTATTTGGATGAGGTGATAAATTCGACACACTAGGTGGTGGGCATCCTATTTCAAGAGCAGCACTTTTTATCCTTCTTACTCCAGGACTTTTACCTTTGTTTTTGTCTGCATCACCACTAGGAGCTTCAGCTTTCACCATCATGTATTCTCCTAATTCGACACTAGCAAAGAAACCAGTATCAGTGTTGTTTGAATGTCTTCTCATATGTGAAACAAGTTGCGCAGTAGAATTTAAAAGCGGTAGTTGTATCGTGGACATAGTGGAATTAGAATTTCTTCTCATGTTAGATGATTGCGCTGTAGCCAATGCCATAGCAGATTTAGTGCAGCTTTCATCAGGATAATTAGTATACCTTCTTCTGTGAGCTGGCCGTTTCTTGGGTGATGGTGGGCCAACACTTAGCTCTGAATTATCCCTTGATTCGAAAGCTAATCCATGTGTGCCGGCAAACTTTGATTGATAGTGTTCTCCAATTGCCTCATTGCCGTCTAAATATAACCATTCTTTGCAAGAACCTCTATTATTCGATCCTCGTCTATGGGGAAATTCATGATATCCCCTGCTAACTTTTGCGAAAGGTCCTTCATCTACTAACATGTGTACTGGTAAATTACTATCTACTCTTATATTTCTGGATGCTTCTTCAACTATTAACTCGTTGATTCTGCTCCCTTGCGTTCTCCTGGTTTTAGAGGTTCGGTGGTCACGTTTGTGACCTGATTTGGATCGTGTTCTATTGGGTGGACGGTTTTTGGTTGTACCTACAGCCACATCTACAAACGTAGGTATTTCTGTGCTTACACACAGGTCTGATTTTGTTGTGGCTACTGCTTCAGATTGTTTAGCAGACATAGCACTATCTTCCATACTGGATTCTGAGCTATTTTTTCGATGTACATCAACTTTTAAGTCTGAAATAAAGAGAATATACTTATACAGGGGTAGGTGGAATTGGAATAATCCATCATCTCTTTGATCTATTAATAAACATTCACCAGTTATTATTAGCCACTATTTGTTATTTGGGCTCAATTTGACATTCAGATCAGATAATATCTCTTTTACATAGTTCATTATTCTTATTTCATACTTTCTTTATCATTAATATTGATATATTTTTATAAACTTGTACAAAATCTATATGTAAGATTCATTATATGAATTGGCCCAAAAATATATTTTTTGTATTAATGTATGGATAAATACACTTTTTGTATGTTTCTAACATTTTAATCATACAAAATCTAATCTGTTTTGATATTTCAATAATTGAGTACCAACTACATATCAATGTTACTGTAAATACACAAGCGAATAGTTTTTGTAGTATAGATTTTAAACATGATGTAATTCCTTTGTTGAAAGATAAAAAGTCACATAACTTAAAAATACAGACAATGTATATTGTTATAATGATTTCTGATAAATACTACAACAAAAATTTACGACCTTCGGACGTATAATTTACGAGTAGGAGTATGTTAGGAGTTATAAAATAAAATCTAAGTCTGGATTCATGATACTGATAATTAAAAAAAAACAAGATATCAACAAAACCTTTCCAAAGTAAGTATAGCGGGATGGTTGATGTTTCATTTGCCATTTACGAAAACAATTTAGGGTAACTAAAACTGTAACATAATAACTTACCAATAGTACTGTTATTGGGTTTGTGGTATTCCAAAGATGTGATGGACTCATTATCACTACCCTGCACGACTACACCACCTAGACGGAGCATTTGCATCTCCATGCCTTCTTCAGGTCTGCAAATAATATAGCCAATAAATAGATTTTACTGTAAAAATTACTGATATATTTAAATTAGAAGAAAATTCTAAAATTAAACAGCCATAACTTTTATGTTATTTATTTTTAAAGTATTCCTCAAGAACTTTCTTCTTTTATGCCAGTTACATAAAAGAAGAAAGTTCTTGGCAACGGCAACAAGATTACTAAGAGAGAAGCAATGGTGTCCAATACAGTATCCCAGAAGTTGATGTCAAGCCAGAACAGGGTAAGTAATAACAAATAACAAAAAAATAAAAAAACTGGATCAGTTGACGTATACATGACCTAAAATAACGTCATCATACAACGCTCATAGTAGCATTAGTCCTCAACATTAAGCATGACTTTATGTTGAGGACTAATATGTAGTGTCTCCATACACTATAATTTCATAGCACACTAATAAACTGCTTGACGACTGAATTGAGTGAGATAGAGGTACTTCCAAAGACTACTCAGCAGAAAAAGGTACATATGTACATGTATGCTTTGTACATAGTGGAAATAAGAGTGTCTGTGAAGTATCATATACTAGTACACTAAACATAACACCTAAGAATCATGTTTTGAAGTGAATGCTCATATTGTTGTTTACACAGACTAACTAAATTTGAGTACACTACTTATGACTAACTTTTTTGATAAAGAGAGATAGTGAGGTTGACAATAAAAAAACAATGACACATAATGTTTGTTATACTTGTTGTTGACCTTTGAATTACCACAGTGTGTATGCAAATTAACTAAGTAGAAGATATTAAGTATGTTGAACCATTTTGATAAAAACTAGCAGATCACTAACAACATTAATTTTAATTTTCCACCATTAAACACAATATCACATAGAACCATAGACTACATACTTAAACCACTGAGTAATAATTGCATACAAATTCACATAACAGACAAGTCTCTTGGTTGGTACCCTTTTGGAAGTTCAAGAAATAATAAATGATTACCTAAAACAATGTTATTTAAGGGCAATACTCACACAGTGTTATTGTTAGGTGCTCCTGTTTCACCAGTAGGTTGTACAATAATACACTCACTTGTATCATACATATGGTGTAGACTATGGTTCAGTATTTTTAGTATTGTGAACAGTAGTGCAACGAGAACACAGTACACAATCCAACCTGTACTCGCTGGCGGGAAATACTGTAAAATTATATTATTAGGGTGATAAAAAATATATTTAAATTAAGAAATACTTATGTATTTATAAAATAATGTATTGATAATTTTCAATATAATTTGTTTTTAGTCACAAATTGATGAAGGTGTGATGGGTCACTAGTATCATATAAAATTAATTGCACACATGGCAATTGTGTGTACTGACAATTTGTATCAGCATGTGCAGTGCAGTCTTAAGGATGTAGTTGAGCACACTTTTATTGGTGATGATAAATGACAAACTCTTTCATTATTTTTCAATAATAGACATAATACAAAACATAACATTTAGTAAATATGTGAATATATCACAAGATTTTCTTAGAGGCATAATCATTTGATCTGATTCAAATAAAAATAATTTCACTCCCACAATTTACCCTCATTGAAAGAAGAACATATGCAAAATGCTTGTTGGTAGCATAAAATATGATATATATATATATATATATATATATATAGCAAATAATATTTCTTTTTTATATAAAGTATTCATTATTTTATTTTATTTATCATTTTGATCAACAATTTATTATTTTTCTCTGAATATTCTTTAAGTAGTCCAAAAATTATGTCATGTTATTTGTTGTACTCTAAATATTTATTTCATTTATAGCTACAAAAATGTTTTATTAATTGAGTAATTAGAGTTAATATTAATATTAAAACAGCAGCTTGATTTTCATTTATGTACATAGATCTAACGTTACTATGTATACATATAAATGATTCATATAGATAACAAAAAAACCTCTACGACAAGCCATTGTCATTTTGATCAAATTCAAATCCAATTGTTGATATAAATATCAACTATTGAGCTCATCCATGAAGTTAATAATAAATAAATAATAATAAATTTTTATTAAGCCACAATCATGTACAGGTATAAATTCATTATTTTATGAGTTGAAAATTAACCAACATTTCACCAAAAGAACTTTAATACATAATTACATACAATAAGACAGATCTACTCTTTGATTAGATTAGCTGTATTAGTATTGTAAGATACAAAACAAATGGACATTATATTACATCAGATGTGTTTTTTAGCAGTATCAATTTATACCTATTAGATGTTTTTAACAAGACTATTTATAAAAATCAGAGCAATGATCATTGTTGTAGACTATTAACCATAACAATGTTGTACAAACAATTTGACCTGATTTTGCATGACATCACACAATAACCTAGTAGTTATTTAGATGCTTAAATGCATTATTAATTACAAGATATTGACTTACCAGGTACACTGAGAATGGCAGGCATAGCAAAAACAACCAAACATACAGGTGGACTGTGTTGCAAAACAAATTTTGATGGGGATCATAAAACCATCCTCCTGTCAACGAAGCCCAAACACCTTGGCGTAATATTTCTAACGTCTGAGAACCCATTTTATATGCTATGTCCACATTTCCGCACCTAATCAACTTCCCATCCACATAACACTATCTATAACGCAAAACAAATCATATTTTCTCTTCACGAAATTCCTGCGAAACTCCGATATTTCCTGCCATTTTGTATGACAAATGTGATGTACAAGCAAAAATAGACTTTACAGACATTTATTGTTTTTAAGTAATTCGTGGTTACTGTAAAGTAAAGTGCAAAAATTAAACAGGTATGGAAATGTAAAATAGTTTTGTACATGAATTAATACGTTATAGTAATAAATTAATATCATAAGTAATTCTAGAAAGATTTTTTTAAGAAAATCATTATAATTCCAATAATTCAATAGTTCTCGTTTTCGTCTTGAAAAATTCCAACTGTTTGACAGTTGACACTTTTGACTTTGACAGCAATATTTGTCAATGTTGCCTCATTATCAAATATGTTTTCAAAGCGCTCTACTATCCTCCTATGTTCAAATATTATGGTCGCCCTCTAGGAACAAATACTTACACTTTATTAAATAGTTTTTATTTTAAGTACAAATTAATTTAATTGGTATCAGTATCAGCAAAAAGTTTTTAAGACGAGTTACGCCGTGTTTTACATATCTTTATTGGATTATAGATAGTACCTATACATATGCTATAAAGGTACAAAAATTAATATAACTTATGTCTGTTTTTGGGAATACAACTAAACGTACATCCAGAGATAAAATAAGTTTTTGTATTATAAACAAGCAATAATATAATATATTGGTAACAACGAAACATGCACCTCAACTGAGATAAATTCTTTGGTTTCGTAATATCTGATATGATAAAAACTCTCGCAGAACAATTAATTCATCTTCATAGGTAAATACATAATACGTAAGTACTTATTCGGAAACGATACACTTATCTATATTATTTAAGAAGATATATTACTGTCAGCTGAACGCATTTAGTTTCCAGAACCAGAAAATTTACTGAGTAGGTATTTATACATGCCTGCCTATTACGCGTTAGACACGCAAGAGTGTATGTTGTGTATTATGTTAAATTTGTAGATTTAAGTTACTCATAAATAATGTCGGACTTTGAAAAATTTATTAAGCAAGCCGCTATGCAAATTGGTGCTGGTGGAAGTGCAGGTTTCGTAGAAGTCTGCATTATGCACCCCCTGGATCTTGTTAAAACAAGATTACAAATACAAGTTAACAAACCAGCGTCTAGTGATCGTCATTATTACAGTGGAATAGTGGATTGTATGAAAAAAATGTATAAATACGAAGGATTAACTTCTTTCTGGAAAGGAATTTTGCCACCAATTCTTGCCGAAACTCCTAAAAGAGCAGTAAAGTTTGTAACCTTCGAGCAATATAAAAGGTTTTTTATGTTTGGCTCCAGTACACCGACACCATTAGTAAGACTTTATATATATATTTTTTTTAATGAATGATATTGGAATTGTGCATATGCTAAATGTATTTGCTAGCAGGGCACCAGCGGAGGATGATAAGATGATAATGAGGTCAGGTCAGTTAGCCTATTGTGATGAACCGCGTGGAGGTCAATCTAACTTGGTACATTGCTTGCAATGGGGTCACTAGTTCCCGTTATTAATGATCACTTCCCCCATTATTTATTTGTTAAGTACAATAAAGGTTTATCTTTTTTGTATACCTACAAAAAAGATAAACCTTTCTTGTATCGTATTAAGTAGGAATTTTGTGACTGAAACGAGTTTAAGAATCAAATTAGGAAACTCTGTTTGTTGCCGTAAAAGTAAATAAATACAGGTATTTAATATTGTATCAAGCAACTGTAAAGTAAGTTCTAATTTCAATAGATGCAGATATATGTATTTGATGACTTAAACACGCCACTCTATCTAAATCGTAATAAACTCTATTTTATTTATTTACTTTTACAGCAACAGCTTTAACTGACTTAAATTACCTATTAAAAACTACTGCTGTTATAATATGCTTTTCTTATATTATGCTGCTTTCATCGTAAGATCTATTTAAGTTCTAAGATAATAGAGAACCCTATTATGATACATGCATATAAAGGAGTACAAAATGGATCGTAATTCATAGCCGTGGCTAAGTAAATTCAATCCTGAGCAACCAAACACGTCTGTTAACCAATCGCGTCCATGATATTGACGACAATGTAAATTTAAATTAAATTATTAGATATTGCAATTGTAATTCTACTGGTGTTTAAATTACACTCTTCCTGCTTCTTCAACGCGATATTGAAATAATTTATAATGAATAATTTTACAATGCTTTAGTTTAATGCATTAGTTTGATCCTTAAGCTTTGATACGACGACCACGACACTGTTCTACTCCAGAACTAGTGTTCAGTATATAGAGAAGGTATAAATTGCAATCCCAGTGTTTGGAGTTTAATTTTGTTAACGACACTAAATATTGACTTAAATTAAAATTAATAGATTGAAATAACTCAGAAATTGATTCTGACAGTCGAGGCCGGAGAAGTCTGGGTATTTATTCTATTTGTTTGCTTGGAAGAAAAAACAGTTACTACTTAGGTAAGACTTAAACTAATAACAGAAATTTTGGTTCCTTACATAACAATATAATGGTGTTTATTTATTCTAAAATAAAGCATATAGTAAGCATAAAATAAACGTATGTATATACATATATTAATAACCATCTTTCATAGATTGTTGATACAATACCATAGTAATTGCTACCGGAATTATAAGTCGTAATGATTACCTAATGTTTATTGTGTAAAAGTCAACAACTTAACAATTATCTTGATGCGTAATAAATTAATTACTAAACCACGTTATTAGATACCATTTATTATGTTTGAAGTAGAACCTGTTTTCCTCAAAGGCACTTTAGGAGTAGATAACTGAATATTTGAATACAAAATATTGGAGGAAGGTGTTAACTAGGGATAGTGATAGTTTTGGAAATAGATATGTTACATGTGTACGACTAGAATATCACTAATGTTAAGAGCTGACTGAGTATTAATAATAATAATAATCCTAGACAATCCACATAGGGCCAAATAGTCCCAAGCTAAGCAGAGCTCGTATTATGGATACTAGACAACTGATATAAATATGTAGATATATATTTTTTTGTAAATACATACAGAATATACCTACATTTACACATAATCATACTCATTAATACAAATGTATTCACGGTGCGAAGCATCGAACCCCCAACCACTGGAAAGTAAAGCAGTGTGCTAAACCGCAAGACCACCGATGCCGTCACATTATATCTGAGTAAACAAATACATAAATAATTACGATGTGTTGCACGTGTTGTTCATTTGTTGTTATAAATTTACTTTTGGCGGATTATACGTTTCACCGGTACAAATAAATTAGGTATATAAAGATTTCCAACTACAACATATGTAGGTATAGTAGCGTACAAGTACCTAATATAAACTTAGTTTTATTATTATTGTCATCAACCTATTTGATTCTTGGATATGGTCAGATTTTTGGGTTTTCTTCGAAAGTAACTTCTTGGCATTTCATGCTATCGACGAATAATTGTGATACGAATAAGTAATGATGCCATTCAAGATATATAATTAAATAAATAAAGTTTCTGCGATAAACTTTATTCAGCAATGTTCACAAGAGAATTATAAATAACTTGAATTTCAATTCAATGTCGTTAGAGAATTAATGTAAACGTATTGCTCCATCATAAATAATTTAAATATATTGACTAGGTTTGCCGCGAAATTACATACATACAAATACATCAACTCTTAGGATTTAGAAAATATACAAAGACCGATACCATATTGGCAAATTATATATGTAGTATGATTGATGTCTTGGGTATTTTTGATCACTTATCTGTTTTATTATATGTCGATAAGATAAAATTTAATGAGAGAAATTCTGTTTGAGCTAGTTTCAGAAATAAACCATTTTTCTTATATAATAAAATGGCACTTTCAGACGTTCTCATTAGCAGGACTTGGAGCTGGTATAACAGAGGCTATATTAGTGAATCCTTTCGAAGTAGTCAAAGTAACCTTGCAGTCCAATACGTCTTTAGCAGCCCAAGTACCAAGTACGTGGTCTGTAACAAGACAAATCGTTAGAGAACATGGCGTAGGTTCACGAGGACTTAACAAAGGTTTAACAGCTACTATTGCAAGAAATGGTGTCTTTAATATGGTATACTTTGGATTTTACCATAGTGTAAAAGGCTTGATCCCAGAATATCATGTAAGTTGTCTGCTTAAGTTTATATTGTAAAATAGGAAAGTATAGATACCTAATGTTAATCTAACGGAAACTACCACTGGATCCTGATACTAATCTTGATGTTACGTTGCTTGATATGCCAATTAATTTCATTTCCTTACATTTATATTAGTGATACTGGTATTGAAATGAAGAACTGGTTTCTATATTTGCCAATTTTAATTTGATAGAAGTGATTTTAGTGTACATACAGTAGATATGAAATCTGACAAATTTAAATAAATCTTTCTTTTCCCGTAATCAGGATCCTCTTAAGGAGTTTGGCCGAAAAGTAGCTATTGGCTTTACAGCTGGTGTTCTTGGGTCTTGTGTGAATATACCTTTCGACGTCGCCAAAAGTCGTATCCAAGGTCCTCAACCTATACCAGGGATCGTAAAGTACAAATCTACTACAGGAGCAATTGTATTAGTTTATAAAGAAGAAGGGTAAGTTGGTTTATAGAGGAGAAGAATTTAAAATGTTTCATATATTTTACAATACTTATTTATTTCGTTTGTTCAAATTAAAGTGTACCGGAGTAAGCGTTAGCTTGCCTGTAGCACCGATAACATAATATTACATAATTGTAGTAAAAGAAAGGTTGGTGATGCAATACTCACAGGGGCCAATAAATGTAGGTAAATTTGATCAATCGGAATGAGTCTTGCAGGAGTAGATAATGGATATGTTGCAATAGTGGTGGTCATGTTATTTTCACGTATACACACAATATACCTTAATACAGAAATATTTCAAATCTCCAAAAGAACTTTAAATAATCTTAGGGATTTGGCTCAGCCCCAAATTGAGATGTTAGAGCATTTTAAAGTAAAAGATATTATGAGGCAGAAAAAGTGGTTCAGTGGCAATTTCCCTTAACAAAATTTTAATTTGAAATGTAATGAAATATAAAAATGATATTTGGATATATAAATAAAATATAACGTTCCTCGATAATTGGGCTATTCAATACTAAATGAATTTTCAAAATCGGACCACGAGCACCGTAGATAACACCAACATCCAAAGTCACAAATTTTACCTGTTTAGGACATTAAATTAGATGTAGAATTATAATTAAAATAAAATAACATTTCTTTTAGGTTTCGAGCTCTCTACAAAGGTTTGTTACCTAAGGTTCTTCGACTGGGCCCAGGTGGTGCTATAATGTTAGTTGTATATGACTACGTATATCACTTTCTAGAGAACAAGTTTCAGTAGGTCTATGCCTATTCATCAATCTGTGAACTAATGTATTTTATAATTTTAATATGTATAAAGTTATAATTTCAAAAGTCGTCGAAAATTATATGACATAATTCTTTTTTGGTTAGTACATTATTTTCCTACCACCTCAGTAAAAAAAAATACGGACAGAGTTCAAGGTCATTCTGTTCCTATATTTCAAATTATTCGAATAAATAAGATATGTTGGTTATTGTTTCATTGTATCGTACGCCAACAGAAAAGCTAGTCTGTATGTAAATTATATTATATGAGACAAATATACTTGTATCTTATCACATGCATTACGTAATTGAGTTTAATTCAATAACATTTTAGATAAAATATATTCCATTGCATTATACGTGCATACCTATATAAAATTTGATACTGTTTAAATATTAGTTATGGTAAATACCAGAAAATTTGTTATTAACAACAAACTTGCAAGCACAGAAATAAATAGGTATAAATATAAATAGTGTAATGTTTAGGGAATTTTCAAAAATCCTTAAACACTATTGTGTAGTTCACCAACATAATATCAATATATATATAAATTAAATCTTATATTTTATGATAACGAGGCCAGGGTTCACCTGAAAGTTATCATGTAATATTTATAACACACAATATATCTATGATTACTTTTATTTTTCTTAATATTTTTATTATATCAGGGAAAGATATAATACCTACACATATAAATATTATCGAGAACACTTCTAGGCCTCACAATACTCCTTAATTTGTAAAAATCTTTTGCCCGTCATTTAAATAAATACAAGTACGTAAACAAAGATTGATTTATATGGATAAGTGGTGCACAAGCTTACGTTAACCATATTCTATGATAGAATGAAGTTAGGTATGTTATCGCATTATGGCCAATTTAGGAATTACCTACAATAATTCCCAGGAGCGACCGCGTGGAAGCCAACCTGACATAATACAATTCTGGCTGGAGTGGCTAGGTCCCATTACTAACAATTCCCTCCATCCCTCAAAAATATGTCGATAGAGTCGTTACAGAAATATATACTTTACAATCGTTTTTACATCGAAAAGGATTTCAACTTTCCATACTAATGGAAATGAAAAGGACGAATAAACATGTTAGTGAATAAAAGTGATCAAATCTTTGCATATTATTTTTATGTAGCTACTTGGAAAAGTATTGATATTGTAGTGTTAATAAGATTATAACCTAATCGTAATAGTAAGCCACATTAGTATTGTTTGAAATGTAGTATATGATAGTAATATGTCTATGATTAATTGTTTTTGTTTTTTATTTAATAGTAAGGACTTATAGTATAGACATTTGTAGATGTAATATGGATTCAACACTGAATAATGGTCGTCTTTAATTGAACATATATAAAATTTTATGAAATAATACTGTTTTGTATAAATTTGGTTTATTTATTTAGTTAAGACTATTACATAATATTATAAGTCATGAGGTCATAAGTTTTGTAAAGTTAAATTATAACTTACTAATAATTTATAGTTTGTTTTGTTTTGTCCATGAGTTATGGTCACCTTCTTAGTAGGACAATCTCTCCGTAATAGTTTTGCTTTTGCCAGTCTGACCTGGAATGAGTTATTTGTAGTTTGAAGAAGTCATTCCAGCCTAAGAACTATTATATAAACAAACTATAAAGAGATCTTATCCTTTCCATATTATATGTAGTATACACTTAATTCCCGGTAAAGAACTTGAGGTCTGCGAGAAGTTATTTATTCCTTATACTGATGGTTTTAATGAAATAATAATGTATGTATAAGAATGCATACATTCCCAATAGCTATATATTAATATTCCAATTTAGTAAAACTTAATCGATGTCTAATAGCGATACTAGTTACGAAACTATAATTTTTTTATTAGTCTTGTAAGAACTATTTTCTTTTTATTCTATTTAGAGAAAACTATTGTGAATACTATTGTAAAAACTGAAAATGGATAGGCTGGATGAGCTAAATAATCTGAATTTTAAGTAAAACTGAATGATTTTTGATTGGCCGAATGAATATCATCCAAAGTCGTAAAGTTATTGTTTAAAATAAAAAAATGTTTGCCATTTTTATTGTTGTTTTATGATTTCTGTCAAAATATTTATTTCTTTTTGCCCATCATTCCAGAAGTCAATAAATAGTAAATCTCTGTATTTACAGCTACATATATTTTAATGGTAAGTATACTTTTTTACTGTAAGAAATTCTAATTGAAACGTAAATTATAAACAAACTATAACCTAAAAGTACTCGTCCGATTTTCAAATACTTTCCTGTAATAATATTGTATTAGTGAATTCAGAGTCTGAACATTATCCTAGTCATAGTACTTTTTATACAGTGTTTAAAAATAATTATTATAATTATAACTAACAGTAATTTATACGTATATTTTTACTAATTTGTATTTGAAAGACAGTAGGAACTTTTCACTAAAGGGAAACAAAATAATTATAGTTCAAAAGTTGAAAAGAGACAGGACCAATATGCTCTAGGTACACTTTGTAAAGTTTTCAGGTCCAAGAATGGATCAACTGCATCAAGCACATATGCCACACATTGTGCAGGTCTACCAGTCTTCTATACCAAACAACAAGATTGAAAGTCAGCTAATTAATATTCCTCATCCATCAGTGCAAGGGTCACAAGAAAAAATTACCTACCAGCAAACTCTAACACCTGAAACTCTTCACATACCTGTAAATAGTCTCTCGGACAAAGCTATACAGATAAATCAGAATCAGATTTCAGTGCAATGTCAGCAGGGACATTTAAATTTACAACCAATGCAGGGCCATATGGCGTCACTGCAGAGTTCAGATATGGCACATAGTTTGCATATAACTTCACATATGCTGTTACCTCAAGCACCTGTATTCAAACAGCATATGTTAATAAGTAGTGAACAACAATATTATGCATATGGTTATCAGAAGGAGCAGTGTCTTGTAACTAAAGTAGAGCCAGAGCTTGCTGATAAAAATATGGAGTAAGTATTAATCAAACAGTATAGGCAATATATTTAGATATTGTCAATTAAAATAAAAAAATCAAATTTTAATAATTAAAACTCTTTAAGGTAATATTATTTGCAATATTGTGATCTATTTTATATTCTATTTTCTAGGTGTAAAACTGAAAGTACTACTGGAGCTGAAATAGAAATTGTGCCATCAAATAAAAGAACACGGAACCAAATACCGAATCCTGAAAATTGGGCTTGTAATGTACGTAAAATGAAACATCAAAGAGGGGAAGCATACATTAGCAGACGAGGGAAATATGTTCCAGAGAGGCGAGTGAAAAACACAAAAGACTGTTTAAAAACTTGTAAATACAAGTGTAATGAGAAGATTAATAATACGGACCGAGAACATATATTTAGGGCTTTCTATTCATTAAATGCAAATGAAAAGCGTCATTTTTTACTAAATACTACAGAAAGAAACTATGCTAGACATAAAGTTATGGATGCTCAGCACAAGAGGAGGTATTCCTTTAAGTATTTTTTCCTAGTTAGAGCTGTTAGATATACAGTTTGTAAGAATTTCTATTTAGGTACTTTAGCAATATCTCAAAAACCAGTTTATAATGTACATTTAGGAAAGTCAGATATGAATTTGCCCAAACCAGATGGCAGAGGGTTGTCAGAAGCAAGTGCTCATAGTTTGCCGACCGAGGTAAAGGACAGAGTTCGAAAACATATTATGTCTTTTAAAACAGTTGAATCAAAATCTATAAAACAGTACTCAAAGAAAAAGCAATACTTGGCACCTGGTTTAAGTATAAAAAAAATGTATACCTTGTATTATAATGACTGCAGTAGTGAGAATGTGGCACCTGTTAAAGAATCGATGTATAGAAAGATATTAAAGGAAGAGTTTAATTTACATCTAAAAAAACTTAAATCTGAACAGCAGTTATGCTGTAGGTGTAAAGGTAATATTAAAAAGAAGTCCTAACTGCGAACTAGCTTATAGAAAATTTACACTTGCTGGATAGAAAGTAGGTATAAGTATTATTTGGTTTGTTATTTTTATAAAATTTTACAGGGTTATTGTGTAGGTTATTGTCAATTAATGTGAATAATTTGGATGTGAATCTGTTAAATGATGTCTCATAATTATTAATTTGACTATTAATTACTAAATACAGCTGAATCAATTTGTTTTATGATTTTAAGTTCTTTGTAGCACAATACATAATAAATTTAATATAAGTTGTGTGTGAATATGAATATAATATTGAACCTTTTACACAAACTGCATGATAACAATGATTAATGTATTTATTAATGTTGAAAATATCAATTATTTCTAATATTGACATCTGCTTCTTTGCATTGCAGCCTGAATAATGTATGAGCAGTATTAATAATATTGTATTTTAAAGTTTATTTTATTCATTTTATTATCAGTTGTTATGACCTAATATATTTTATTTATCAATTACTTACATTAATATTATATTGCCTTTTTTAAAAGACAGTAAATTATATGTAGGACTAGTCAATCTAGATGTAAAATTACCCGTGTACGATTTCTAATGTGTGTAATGATGCCTAGTATTGTAGACCGGCACACTGTTCCCACACAGTGTGCCGGTCTACTTTGGAAATCAATTGCGATCCAATGACATTGACATAGTGCCGTCTCGCTACATTTTGTACTCATGAAATTATACACTAATGATTTATTTCGTTAAGCCTTCTTTACGTTATGTTATAAAATCAAGTCGGACCGTAAAAAAATAGTGAATTGAAATCAATATGATGATCAGCTTAGACTTCAGGTTAGAGCTTAATCAAAATTTACGTTCTTTTTTGTGGCAGTCTAATCTACAAAAGAGCACAATTCGGGTTCGGAACTGTTATATTTTTAAGAAATAAATGTATAGGTAATAAAATACTATATATGTATATAGTAGTAAGATTATTTTTGTATATCACAGAAGTGCATTTTATGTATGACATGACATTAATAAAGCATATGCTTTTATATGTTTTTTTTATTAATATAGGCCTAGGAACTGGCATATATGTACATCAAATTCAATTTAAACATCAAAACTTTCACGTAATAGTAATAGTAGAGTTCGGTACTTAAAATTCTAACCATCAGATAAGTAATTAAAAAAGTATAATTTGTCAATTATTACAACACAGTAGAAACCGGATGTAACGACGTCAGCGCTGTATTAGCCTTTAGTAGTTAGCCAAGAGTAGTAGTTATTCGGGTCCCAGCACATGGCTCCTGTCTGAACATTATACAACAACAACATTATGATGAAACAGATTTTTAATGGTTTGTATAAAGTTTATGTCAAGTAAAAGCTCATTGGTAGGTAATTGTTGTTTTTTAAAGGTTTAACATTGGTCTTGTTAACGTTGGTATAACTGACCTGGCCTCATACTCATGTTATCATCCTCCACTGGTGCCCAGCCAACGTACACCGTTAGTGCAGGAGAGGGCACGATTACATTATCACCCCTTAAAAAACATGACCCTGAACGACGTAGATTACAACGGATCGACGACTAATTGGCAGAATTCGGACTGCATGAATTATTATATATATACTGCTTATAGCGACTATTCGAATGTAGCGTGATTTTAACCTGTTTCTAATGAGAATCGTAAGTAACAGTGTTAAAATGGAACCTTGCAGAGAGATTCAAGTTTTTAAGTACAAGGAAAGTCTATTTTCTAAATTAAATAAAGAAAACTCACATCATTAACATTTCAAGCATTTTATTATTAGAAACTATTGAATATTCTGTGGTATAATGCTTCATTATATATATGTTGATTTATAATTGACGACCTTTAGTAGTAGAGGGTTTAGAACACCGCTTTATTTCCGATGGTTGCGGATTCGTTTCCTCGCACGATGCAAACATTCATATCCAGGAGTATAATAGTTTGTAGTGGTCTGGGTATTTTCTATGTATTTTATGTATGTATGTATTTACACAAAATATGTAGGTATCTATGTATTTATATTAGTTGTCTAGTAACCATAACACAAATTCTGCTTAGACTAGATGGCACTGCGTGGATTATCCAGGGTTATTATTATTTTTCCTATTCGCTTTTTTAATTTCACGTAAAGCAAATTTTTAATGAACTTTGAAAACTTTCTGATGAAGTCGTGCAAGGAAAACAAAGTAGGTAATATTTATTAAATTTCCGTACACAGTTATAATATTACTGGAAAATTAATATAAATAGATTTAAAAATAAAATAACTATTGTTATACATTTGATGTAAGATATCACTTTATTTGTCATATTTGTATATATTTGCATATATCTAGTTGATCCTGGACGATAACAGGATGCACACAACATCTTCGTCCTCTTCAGTTTTTAGTTCCCATTTCACGTCTACTTTAACTTTGGGGTATGATTTAAGGACTGGCAGCGTCGCTTTGTAGCTAACCTTTGTCCCAGCCTGTAATATAATTAGATTATATTTTTTCGTATAAACTATGAGATTAATGCGTACAAACTTACAGACGTATAAATAAAAATTCATTTTCATCTAATATTACCTAATATTCATTGTTTTGGGTTCTAGTGTTTATATACATAGCCAATTTTCGATGGCCATGTATATTTATAACTAAAATAATTTTTCAAATCGGCCAATCCTTTGTTTATCAAGTACAAACGAACAAACATAAATGATATCTTTCGGATTTATAGTTTTAGTTCATATAGTACATTGGGTTTTTTAAATATATCAGGTTGCAGAGTGGTCAATAATAATGTTAATATCACTATTAGTTTCAAATAGACCATTTGTTGTAAACAAGTACAAGTAATGAATCTTTAATTGACATGTTTGGTAACAAAAATTCAAAAATCATAAAAAAAGACTCATTAACCTTAAATGATATAAATACATACAAGTCATGGATACATGAGTTTGGTGATCTAATAGATTAGCACACTGCTTTATTATTTAAAAGTTAGTCTAACTTTGTCAGTTCAGCTAATGGAAAACCAAGGGGATACCTCTATTTTAGATGTACCTCTATTTATTTTTGAAACAATAAATATCACAAATTTGCAAACCTTTAAGGGGCACTTGAGACCGGTGTCCTGACAGGCATTCGGTTGAGGCAGAGGGAATGGCACTGGCAGATTCATGATCACACCGTGCACTTCCGTAACCAAACTGTCGATATCTTTTGCTGAAAATTAAAAATAAATAATCATTTAATTATCGGTGATGGAAGACAAAGAAAACCAACTAATTAGCGAGACGTTTGTTAACGAGATATAGGGGTATTCTGCCATGTTCGATTTAAATATGCTCAAAATTACTTATATATTGGCAGGTCTTATGTTCATCACTATATGGACTGTTGACTACCCCATAAATATTTCTGTCGGTCTGTTTTTCAATTTATTTATCTTCAGAAAAGAGAGTTAAACTCCACCGTTTTCGTTTGTTTAGATATGTAATATCCACGCCAATCTCCAATTCATTGATTAATGGCTTTATGTATTTTGTGTGCGAGAACACAATTGTTCAGTACGGAAACCCGGCCGACCATAATTATAAAAAGCGTTAAGACATTATGATCTTTCCTATTAGTGATTTTCCGACTGTTATTGAATCTACACCCATATTGTGACTCGTGTTTTGTCACTGAACGAGTCATTATCAGGCAATTAAAAGAACTCGTACATAGCTTGGAAGAGTCCTATTGGCTGTTCGTTGTTCTGAATATGATTAGTAATCATTGCTATTTACTTATAATCCGAAGGACAGTTTACGAAGCAAACTGCTTGGTGATCGAAATAGGTGAGAGTGGTATAGAGGTAGAGGCAGACGGCTCCAGATTCATGTAGGCGACTTTGTATGCAGTGACCTCGGTAAATACAATCTTAATCTTAGTCAATTAATTCCTAAACTCCGGGATGCCACAACACACGTTTTCACAAAGTAAGCAAAGCGAGAAAAACAAAAACGAATAGACTAAAAAAATTAAATCCAAAAAAAGGGCACTTACCTTTATTCTGTGGACAATAGGGGCGAAACTTATAAAAACCTACTTAGTAATACTTTTTGTAAAACTGACTCTACTTACATGGCGTAAATTCGATCGAAATGGTGACATTAGTATTTCTTCTTAGTACACATTCCTTTGCATCGTCGTTACATCCGCTCACTTCTATCTTCTCTATGCTCGCCAGTGGTGATCCTGAAAAATAAATAGGGAGGTCGATTATTTTTTTTCAATAATTGGTATTTACATTAGTACTGAGGAATATTTTATGGGTAGCAAAAGTTACTAGAGTAGGTAACAAGTTTTTGTCATCTGTAATTCTTTTGTTTTTTTGTATATTCTACAATAAAATATACAACGAAATATTTATAATAATTCAAGAGTAGTTATAATTATACATATATCTATTATGGTACAATAATAATACATTGCATTATTATTATTTGAATTGTAGTGAATTTATTCATATCAATGATGGGTTGACACTCTTTTGTAGGGTATAATTTAATCTATTTTTACATTCACAAATAAGGTTGGCTAAAGCCAATATATGTAAATATTCTAATCTTTCGACAGTTTTTTTCATGATTTTTCTGATTGTACTGTGTGCTGTTTTTGTCAAAATACATACATTTATGTATCTCGACAAAAAAACAGAACACAGTAGAATTGCTATTAGGTATACCTACATGTATAATACGCAGGTATTCTACTAAGAGCTGCGGGGAAAATGTGTACATATAGAAAAAAGGAGTGCTTTCAGCATGTAGTACTATGATACTGCGTTCGAGTTTTGTTATTTGAACAATGAATTGATCTGCATGGTTGACTGTTACGGTCTACGCGGTACCTATATAATTCATGTATTGTATAGAAGTGAACCTTTACGAGTTCATACTGTTGTTAGTTTATCTTGAACTATCTGTTACCGGTAACTTTTTTCGCGTAATTGAATGTAAATACTGACAGTGTATTCAGTAGGTTGATTTTCATCTGATTAAGCAGATAATTTTATAATATATATATATACCTACTGCTGTTCTTGAGGACTAAAATATGCAGGTAAGAAAGTTTGTTTGAACGCAAGTAATGGTGTGTAAACACCATTACTTGCGTTCATACGAATACACGTATGTCCCATATTTCTGTTTTAGATGAATGAAAGTTCGGTTGTTTGTATAGTTTTGGGTAACAATTATATTTTGTTTGTTATCCATCATTCATACTATCGTTATATTTTATAGAACGTGGGTAAGAATTATAAGGTACCTATCTAAATAGCATTACAAATAATTACTGCTCTACAATAATGTTTTGTTACGCTCATTGTTACACACACGTTATTCAATAATTTTCTATTGTTTAATTAATTATTCATTCAGTGAGTTTACTCATTGAGAAAGAAATTCTAAAGAAGTTTCTCAGTAGAGAGTACATTAGTACGTACCTAAATAGTATGTGCAATGGTATGAACTACCGTGCTATTTATTAAAAATACAGTGATGTCAATAAACTCAATATGAGATGTAAATATAAACTAAAATATAAATAAGTCTATTCTAATAGTGGAAACTTTACAGTGAAAGTTCCTGAAAGATGATATGAATCTGCATTATTAAACCATTATAATTTATTATAGGTACTAGAGGGTTCGTATTACTCAGTATATTATACTGAGTAATTCGTAAAGTTGTATACTGAGTATACAACTTGAATGAATGTGTGGTTTTAGTATCACATATACTATCTATTTATATTTAAATAACCTTAAGTTTAATAACAATATTTTATATCGATAGCATATAATATACGTGCGATATCTGTACTACAGATAAAATCCAGCGTAAATAAATTCATCTCGTATTTAATAAAAAATACGTGATTATGTGCCAAAATAATCATTTGCGTCTAATCAAAACACGTTTTAGTTTCATGTTAATTAGGCATTGTTTTATACAATAACATAACCAGATGGAGACTTTGTTCAAAGTTATTTACATAATACATAACACACGCAAACTCTAACTATTTCACCTGTTTCTGGGGTCAAACGGCGTGCTTATATACAATGTTTCAGTTTGAAAAGAGAGACACTGCAGTGAAATATATAGTGTATTGTGACTTTAGAATATCGGTGGAATAATTATGTAATGCTATTATCTACTAACAATTCTCATATTAAATATAATAATATTTTAATTAACTAAAATTTGCAGTACTGCGTTTAGGGTAGGCAAAGCGCACGTGACAACCACGGTGTTTTCAAGTGTTCATAGGATACGGGAACCTTTTACCATCAAATGGGCCGTATGCTTGCATCCCATCACCGTGGTTTAAAAAAAATTAGACCAGTCTGTTGCATTTGGGAAATATTAGTACAACTTAGCTTATAACTGTTATACTTGTACAAATTATAATTAAAAATTGTATGCAACTGTGTGAAGGTGAAGTGTGAAGGTACATAATTAAAATCGTCGTTATATTTAAAATTCGTTATAATCCAATGTTTTGCACTTTTTAAAAATATTTGCACTGTGTTGGATTGTTGACATGAAAAAGCCAAAGATGAACTCTTTTTTGGGTGATAATCGAGTTTATCAGTTACGTGTAATTCTATAAAAAAGCCTGACTAGTGTAAATTTATATTAGTTATGCTGTGGATCAAAATTTCATCGAATTTAATTAGTTAGTAGCAAGTTTTGTATGGCCTCCTCATACAAAACGTGCTAATAATAAAATTTAGTCTGGGAGGTAATTTGCCCTAAGCACTGACACTAACATCGTCGTATTATTTAAGAATTTTGTAATTCTTATGCTATTATTATAAAGCAATGCCGTCGCAATTACAGTACCGTAGAAATCTATTAGGCAGGTGGCAATTTTTTCAATCTGTAATGTACGATGTTATTAAGTAATCTATATGCCTGGTATTTGTTATTTTAACATAAACATTAATTTAGGGTATAAACGTAAAATATTTGTGAACGAACGTAAATAATATGTTTTGTTTATAAAACGGATAAGGGGCGTGTTTGTTACTGGTAATCAACCTTCCTTTATATGAAATCAGTTGTTACCGGAACTCTAATTGTCACGATTGCAATAACACGTAATAATAGATTATAATGAAAATAATGATAAATACCACAATCCGTGTAGAACTTAGCTTGTGCACTGGCCAGGAGCACTGCCACTGTTATTAAGAATAACATGTTTAAATTAAAAAAAAATACTTTGCGCGCTAACGTTTACGTAGTGACGACTCGCGCGAGTTTTACAGACTGTCCGATATGACGGACTATGTTGCACGACCTTTATCGCCTTATAATATGCGTTGGCGCAGGTCAAAGAGTAGACGGACAAGATAGATAATAAATATATTATGCCTCTCTTTGTTTTTAATATGCCGTTGAACTGTAAACGTTCCATTTGATACTATCCGTTTATTACTATTAAGTGAAAATTATGATTTAATAATTTCACTGCGTACTATTTTCTTTTTAATTATTGCATTTAAACGAAATCGTTGCATAAAATTGCTCTATTTATTAGGGGAGGATGTGAGTGTACCCATTATTGAATTTGAATAAAAAAGAAAATGGTAGGCAGTAAAATTATTAAATCGTTATTTTTCTCTTACTAATAGCCATTTGTTCGCGGTTTCGGTTCGACTTCCGCACGGAGGTATTCTCCTCTTTGGACAGCCTCCCTGGAAACCAGAAAAAACCAGGTGAATTCACCGCGATGGGTTCACTGACCTTACTTGATCCTTAGCTTAGTGTCTCGCCTGCGTCCCTATATCTTTAGCCCAGGCGTTCCATAATTATTTACAATCTACCTACATTATTATTGAGACCTGCTTAGTATAGGCAATAAATGATTACATATTATGACTAACATAGACTGACTCTAATATAGTCTACAAAAATTATGTAAGCAGATGTATAATTAATAAAGTTAAATGTTTCTAATATACAATAATAATAATCAAGTTTTTATCTTAAATAAGTACCTATTTCTGTTAGTCTGTTGTTTTTACTCTATGTAGTAATGGCTGGATCAGTTAGCTGCATGTTTCAGGAAAATCGAACGAGTTGCGAATATCTAGGTACCTACTTACGCATCGTTAAGCACAAAATATTAAACAATGACTATAGGTATACCTCATTATTATACATTTTATGACAAATAGGCCTTCTATGATTAGGATGAGTCAGTGATAAGATAAAGTTAGAAAGGTATTTGCTTTTAATTCGTTCATTTGAAAATAGTTATTGCAGGCAGGGATATGTCTTAAAAATAATACTTTAATAGGAATATTTGCAAATAACACTAAGCAATTATGAACTTAATTATAATGTCAATTGCTAGACAGATTTGTATAATAGGTATTTTTTTTGCAGTCGTAGTCGTATTAGTTCATGATAAGCATTCATGTAAATTTCGTTATATATAATGTTGATTTCAATTATAGTAAACTACGTAAACATAAACTAAGTAGGTATATTTAGATATATATGCGAAATAAACTTCAGATAATACCGTATATAAACAAATACCATATTTGTTCGATCGATTACGATTTAGACTTGATTCAATTCTGTCAAGTCGCTACTGTTCCCAAGTTCCAAAGCCGCCTACGTTGTTTTAACAAAATAGAAATGTCGAGCATTTTATCAGATGATGTGGGATCTTAACGTTATATTCATAAACAGTAATTTAACGCTTAGTTACTTAAAATTCTAGTCACTTGTCCGGGACTTTGTTATTGTGATTAACATCTCAGTGAAATGAAAACGAAATCATAATTAACTTCTTCATTTATATGTTGTGTACTTCTATTGTAGATGCTTAATGTAACGCGTAGAAACAACTTTTATAATTTTGTCTCTTATGACCCATGAAAATTTACAAATGTAATAAACTATTAACTACATATTTATTTGTTCTTACTGAGATGTATATGGTTACTAATAGAGTTGAGTTGTATATGTTTATTTTTTCTATTGTATGATAACGGAATAGTGCACCCACCTGCTCTAAAGGCTTCGTCCACTAGCGCCCTGACAGCGGTCAGGGCGCTAGTGGACGATGATAAGATGAGGCTCACGCTCATCATCGTCAGGCCAGTTAGCATTGTGACAAATTTAGCAAAAATATAATAATAATGATAACAAATATAAAAATAATGTTATTATGTAGATAATTGACTATACGCTAAAAAGGAAATAGGTAGGTCCTAAGTTTATTTTCTAGCCAGATCAATTCTCTAGATTGATGAGTGGTATGAACTACAATTTCCCATGGCATGTACACAAGACCAAGACGAAGACATTTTACTATTTTTTATGTCCATACCATATCAGGTTGTGCATAAAAATTACTAAAATGTCTTCACGATTTGAAAGAATTGAAAATTAAGAATTAGTCAGGATTGAAGATTAAAATTTGAGCAGGACTGGATATCGCCTATACATTAGCACAGAAATATCCTATTAATTGCTTAACATAGGAACTTCGACAATTGATCGACGATTATGCACTTCAATTGATTAGATACTCAGCTAATGATAATTAGTACCTATATCAGTTTATTGCGTGGGATTTTGGCCCAGGGTTATGATGTGTTCTAAAACGATTGATTCTAATTTGGAATCTATAAATTAATAATGAATAGTGGTATTGTAATATATATATAGTTTATATATAAATATATATAAACCTATTATTGCAAATTACTTGTTATATAGGTACCTACTTACATATTTTTTAATTTTTTTTATAACTTTTTTTTTTGCATAGCTGTAATTCATTGTTTAGGCAAAGTAAACATATTTATTATGATGTATTGTTTTGTTATCTTTTTCTATAGGTGAAGCGGTGTCAAAATATATCATGTTATCATATTACGAGTGTTTACTAGTTTTTTCTGCGAATGCGTTCACGCCACAAATTCGACGATCGGGATAAAATGTAAGGAATGGAGAAACAACTCTAAGTATGTATAATACTATCCTTACCTTATTTTATAATGATCAGTTGAGATGTAACAATCTCAGTTCCCTATTTATAACATTAGTTAGATTAGTACCTGCATGTAAATTGACAATAGATATTTGATCTATTGTGCCTACCGCAATCATTTCATTACGTTTAAATACAGGAAATTAGTCATTGCGTCTTTTTCGTTAATTGAAAAGCTTGTACGGATTTTAATGTTTCTTTTAGGCAGGTCTATTCCACGTGCTTATAAGCAGAACGAGTAAAGTAGTAGCAGAATGTTTTTAGTATTAAAATTTGGTAATCTATTTTTGAGACAAACTAAACAAAATATCAATGTAATAAAGTAGTTTTTCGAATTAAATATTTTCTAGTTCCTAGATACTTGACATTTTTTCCATTACCTGATCAGGCTATCCTTTTTTTAAGGGAACCGATTTCTGATTTGATACTATGAACGTAATAAACGTACTATAATATCATATTGGCCATTGCATTTCAAACCTATAGCAAGCTTGGCCTATACAGCGATCCTCGACCCGGTCAGCACCTTGCTTGGGGTTGGATACTAAAACAGAACTATTCATAATTATAATCTCGAAGACCAGCAATTTACATAATGTTCTTATGGTATGTAAACTGCTGACCTTTGAGATATGCTTTTGCTCGTTGAAAATCATAGATAGGTAAAGCGTGTGCTCCATTCGTCCTAAGAAAACAAGTAATGTCTTCACGGCATCGTTGGCGTTGACGAGGTTCAGTTTATAGGTCGACTATGACGATAATAATGTAGGAAAATGAGGATAAAGAGAGAATTTCTTTTCTTATATTGGAGGCATTTAAAAATGCAGGATTCAAATAAATACAAACTTATAAATAGGATTAACATTATGTAGTATAAAATGAAGTCGCTTTCGCTATCTGCTCGGTTAGATCTTAGACACCGTAACGGATTTTAATACAGTTTTTAGCAATAGACAGTGATTCTAGAGGTTGGGTCAATACAGTCATGTACACCTGTGCGAAGCTAGTATTTTATAGAATATAATATAGCATTCCTTTATACACATATAGTAAGATTATTTTATATATTAAAATATAATAGGTATTTTAATACATACGACCGTCAGTTAATTTTACTAATAAGAGTGTTTTATATTATGTATTCGTACCCTCTACTAACTAGAACACACTGAAAATAAAAAAATTGGAGTACCTAGATTAATTTTTATATAAAACGATAAGTACACAGCTCTTCCCAGAATAGGATACAAAACATGAGGTTTATGCCCTACAGTTTTTATACTATGTAATTTCATTGTTAATATTAACAACATTATTTAATTAGGATCCCTTCATGCATGTAATTGTTTCTTTGTAAATTTTCGCAACTAAATTGACAATATAAATTTTGCCTATTTGCGAAAGTAAGGTTATGTATAATTTTCTTATTATTTTTAATTATGAATAAATGTACTTACCATTTCCATATCAGAATGTTTCAGAAATAAAAAACCAAATTGTTTTTTAAAATCTTATTGGGTGTTTGCTTATGGAATATATAGAGACAATGGAGTGTAAAAAGTAGTGTAATTCGTTATGTATATACATATATCTACTTTTTTGTCTTGTATTTTTAATACGTTAGTTACAATACCAGGAGTCTCCTTCCTCAAACATGTAGTTACGGCCTTAATAATAATAATCTATATATTTACATAATATAGTTAGGTCTATTTTGTAAAAAAAATGTATAACTTTAGTCTCTCCGTGCCTTGTAGAAACCAGGAGGCTTTTGTGCTTCTGGGAGTAGCTTGACTGGCTAAGAGTCACGGCTATACAAGCACAACGGCCCAAACGAGAGGTTAAATGCGGGATAGAGATCATTATACAATACAATTAAACTTCTTGTATAAGTAACTATGTGTATATTATGTAGGTTATATGATGTTAACCTTATATTACGTTTGTAAAATGTGTACATGTATCTTGGGATTAAATGACGTTTAAAATTGCAAAGACAACAATTAACTTAAATTCACACTCTCTAAAGGGCTTTTTTGTTAACAAAAATATAGTTGTCATAAAGTTTTTGTCCCAGATTGTCATCAATTAATGCGCACCCTATTATTTGGGACATCTTTGTCATAGCGTGAGGGGTGAGCATAAAATATATGTATGTAGGTGGGCTTATTTCGGTGATGCCATAGTTAATAAAGGATTATGTTGAGCCACCACTGTTTTGGATTATCGAAATTGCCTTTGAGAGGAATAATGACAACTATAATGAATGAGATAAAC